CGCAGGCCAGGTGGCATCACCTTTGCTGCTTCTCTGGAAACAACAAACTCACCGCTTCCAGACATTATTTTTGGACTTTCCTTGCACAGATGACGCCCACAGAAACCAGGCATCCAGCCAGCCGCTGAGTTTCAGTTTTCTAAGTTGAGGCCAGTCGGCCTCTTGATTTAGCGTCTCTGCATGGGCTGGGCGAGCTCTGAATTTCAAAACTTCGAGAAGGCCCGGCGCCTAGAAGTCTTTTCATCACCGCGTCGCCCTCTTCGAAAACTGCCAAAAAAATTCGACTTGAGGCTACCTTCGATTTCCAAGACATGATAGTGCCTTATATGACAGCCGGGTCAAACCGACCGAGGATCTCCATGCTTGCCAAGGAAGCGCTTGCAAAGAAGCGGCCCTGGTCCTAGTCCTCGGTCCTTTCTCAAGGCTTTCATGCAGACTTCGCGCTCGCAAGGGCCGGGGCCGTGCATCCTCTCAGCTGGTGGGAGGCTGGTGCCAACCAGGGCGACTGCAGCACCTCGGCTCTAACAGTTTCAGACAGTCGACTTTCTCAGACCGACCTTTCCTTTTTCAGGCACCATGGCGGTCCACATGCTCTCTTCTTTGGGGAGACAAAGCAGACAAGCGCTGCTGTGCAGCACCAGCACATCAGCACTCCATGAGCCTGCAGTGGCCAGTATACTATCAATACCCGTGATGCCGACATACGCGACATGGTGAAGCGCTAGGGTGCAGAAGGCACAAGACTACGCTACGCAAAGCCGTTACACATCCAGACGTGTAGTCAGTGATGTCATTGCAGTCTGCATACCCCGAGTCCAGATGCGCCCGAATGCGTTGCTGCGCCGGAAAGGGAAAGCCTCTTCAAAATCCACGCCACCCTCTTTGAGCCGATCCGCGACTCAGCAGCTGCGACGCGAGGATCCGCCAGAAACCCAGGAGGGGTCCAGGGCCCAGTCCAAGCGCAGAAAGCCGCCGCTCCAGGCTGCCGCGCTGCAGAGGCCACCCGGTGCGCCTGACATGAGAGAAGCTGAGATGTCATGAGAGAGAGATGCTGCGTTCTCTTCTGATGTTGAGCCCTTGAGCAGACTCTGGGAGGCGCCTGCGCGAGAACGGCGATCGTTCGAAGCTGGCAGTGAGGCAGCTGGCGTTGGGCGCAAAGGCAGAGATCACTGGGGCCAAAAGGCGCGGGTGAATGGGGCTGCTGGATCTCCCGAGGAAGGGGAGCTGGACATGAACCTAAAGCGGCGTGCGTCCGCGCAAGCCTCCTTCCGTGAATGCCAAGGCCGCTTGGAGACTTTAAAGTTGATAAGAATAAGAATAAGGATAAGAATAATAGTGGCTTTTGAGCAGACTTTGAGTTCTTGCCAAGGCTTTCCCGGCTTTTGCGAGGCGCGATTCAGAACGTGTGTGTGTAGGGGCCTGCTGCCTGGCTGAAGCAGACTGGCCGTGACCCTGCGAGGTGCAAACAGCGCGGTTCTCGGTCGGGTTTTGGAGTCAAGGGATCACCGGATTGCTTAGCTTCATGTGTTTTGAAGCTTCAAGCTGCCGTGAGGTCTCCATGGAGACCATCGACAACCTGCTGCAGAAAGAGGCCGAGGTCACTTGGCAAGTGCGGTAGGTCGTGAAACTCGCAACTTCGTCAAGGCATCGCAACGGTTTTCTCATCAATTAGCCAGCGAGTAGGCCGGAAAAAAGCAGCTTGGCTTTCACAGAGGAAGCTGACAGGAACCCGGTCTCTTCAATAACAGACGGAGAAACAGAGATGTGGTACCAAGCACCTCCCATTGACACGATCTCAGCGCCACTCGTCGACGTCTCAAAACGCTGTCGCTGGACGGTCCAGTCTCTGATGCTACTAGCAAGGTCGTGGACATGTTGAAGATTCATGTCCAAGGCACCCTGCTGCACTTTAGTATCGCCGCCAGCTAATTTGCTTCCACTCAAGGCTTTGAGCTCGACGTCCTCGCCGGAGCGCAACATGCGCTCTCGGAAGCGCCTCGACGAAAGCTTCTGAGATGCTGTGTGGCGCAACACGTTTGCTGCCGAGGGCCTCTTCTGCGTAGTTCATCTGCTCACCTGTTCAATCCATCGCGAAGAGTTCCTGAGCAAGGCACCCGTCTGTTTCCTGGGGTCACTGTCGCCTCATGTCGCTTCTATACCGACATGCGCAGGATGCTATGGATGCCGCGCTGACATCCTTGGACCAGATGTTGAGCCCGGGTCTCTCGAAGAAGGAAACACTTGGAAGCTTCTCTCTGCCTGCTCGCATGGCTTCAGGCAACTACACCGCGATGGCCGTGAAGTTCAAATTAGGGGAAGATGCTGAGATACTCTCCCTGAAGCAAGCGCACGCGTCTTGCTGGCAGATTGCAAACGGGGTGGATTGCCAAAAGATGACAAGTACTTCAGTAAAGTCTGGGGGAACTGCAGACCCTGTTCTCATCGAGGCTCGAATCATCCATAAGAAGACTTTGGCACCGAAGGACCCATATGAGGTGCCGCAGCTGCAGTTCTTGTCCACCTCGCATGTCTTTTGCCATGTGCTGTCTGGTGCTTGATTCGGGGCTCGCCCATGCTCATCAGTGCGACCTACTTGAGTACCGCAACGATACAAAGACGATGGCAACTCAACACCTCAACCCATCCACAAACATCAGACTTGCTGTACGAGTGCCCAACATCTCAGAACTTCAACGTGGTGGCCTGGCACCACGGCCCACGCTGCAGTGGCCGTATGTCGGTCCATGCCGCTGAGCGGATCTTTGGCTGCTCGGCTGCACAAGGGAGCCATGACATGATACGTCACGTCCTTCGCTGAGACTTTTCCATTGGGCGTCACTTGCGGCATAGTAGTTTCAACGAGGCGCGTAGACTGCCTACCTGTGGACCCAGCTCCTTGGAAATGGCAGGAGAAACGGCCATACTGTGCAAAGCAGGCTTTGATCAGCTGCTGTATGCGGCACCGACTATGCAGCATGCACTGCAAGACTCTTGAGGGACTCGAGTACCCGTCTGTTCGGCCTCTCCTCGTTTCTGCTTCAGTTAAAGCACAATAGGTCGTTTCGAAAAGACTGCAGCGCCGACAGGCATGCTGGGTGCTGCAGGCTTTGCTCCACGTATGCTATACACCGGTATACAATGTAACGTACCTAATTATGAGCTGGGCTTTCCACTCAAAGCATAGTCTGTCGGGTCTTCTACTATCGTTATATCGTGACAGGTTGCGGATCTGAGCACTTTCCAGGAATGCCATTGTCACTATTGGGCCTTGAGCCGTTGCACTTGTCTCCGTGCGCTACAGACTGTACAATCGGAGAAGTTGATCAACGAAAAGATCATGCAGCCTACACAGCTTTAAGTGTGACATTAAGTCTGCCCCTGTCGTCTCGGAATACTCGGCATGGCACGGCGACATCTTCGAAGGGGCGCACGCTGTGCTGCCTGCTTGGTGCTACTGCCAGCTCTTGTTTGCTTCGCGCCATTACCAGGACCTCCTTTGTCTGACATGATGTGGATGTTGCCGCTCTTGCATTGCTCGAATCGGTTTTTGACAGGATTCGATGGAGCGTCCATGCGCCGAAGACGCGGACACTTCCGGCTTTGGTGAAGAACCCACCGGAATGGCAGCAAATGGCAGCAGCGCTTAAGAAGCATGGTTCGCAGGACTTGGTGGTTTGACCAGTCTGATGCTCGGCTCTGCTGCGCGCGCCGAAGATCGGCCTGTCGTACAGAGACCGTTTGCTCCTTGTATGCAGCTGTGAGCTCTGCCAACATCTCTGCACTACAGGCAGAGAGTAGCACAGTGTGCCTATACTGCTGCGGAGGAGTGGTCGTTCTTGTGGAAGGACAACCCTGAGGACGGCGTGAAAAGGCCATCGCACACTGTCCGTGCCAGCACACGAACTACGAACGCACGAACTTTCAGGCGAGGACTCAGACCTGCGGAGATCGCCGACGTCCTGCGCAAAGACCTGGGGGACGGCCACCGGGCAGGATCTGGCACAGCTTCTTTTGAAGGCTACTCCTTTGCCTGGCCTTGACAACTCCGTCCCGTCCCGAAACTCGTGTGACATTTCACATCCACCTCGATGGTGATGCTGGCCCACTTTATAACGGCCTCTTGCTTGTGCCATGTACACAAAGGCAAGTATATCCTCACCGGAAATCTCACAACAGCGATCTTTGCGAACGATTGCCGATTTGTCGATCCCAACAATGCCGTGACGGGCCTTGCCCAGTATCGCCAAGCGCTGGCGCTGCTCTTCGATCCATCAGAGGCTTGGACTTATCTAGTGAACAAAGCATTTGAGCCCTTTGAAGAGGTCTCGCAGAAATGGTCATGCTTTGCAGCTCTTGGGCGATGGCTGAAGGAAAGCTTCCTGAACCTCGAGGACGTTTCGGTCGTCGATGGTGGCATCCAGGCCAAATACGTCGCGGGTGGCACGCTGAAGCTGCCAGAGCCCCGGGCCGCCTCTGAAGAGCCAAGCACAACCGCCTTTGCTGTGCTGCTTGAGGCCCTGGCGGCCTCACATCGAGCCATGGATTTCCTCTCAGGGGGCCCAGCAGTGACCCGTGGGATTCCCACTACAAGCAGTTTCGTGTTGACAAGGTCCGGCAGCATCCAGTACACCTTGACAAGTGATGGGCTCATCGGCTCCCAGGTAGATACATGGAACATCACAAGATTCGATGCCATCCGCCAGACCTTCACATTCGGGTCCTGAAATCTGGGGCTCGCGGCTGTGGTTGACAAAAAAAGCTTCCCTGCGCGCAGCCTCTGAGCTCCTTCAGAGAAGCTGTGAGTCCGTGTGAACTTCCCTCGAGGATGCCTGGAACCCGGTGGAGAACTGAAGCGAACCGCTGAGCCGCCATGGAAGCGGAGGAATTCACCGGGGTCCCATGGCCAGAGCCAAGTGCCAGCAAAAAACCCGGATTGCACTCTGAGCAAAAGCCAAATTGCATCACATTTCTTAAGTGTTTAAGGGTCTAAATGATGCCAGGTTGTCGATGCCTTGCGCGGCTTTGCCTTCCCAGGCTGGCGTGAGCAGTTTTGGGGGAGCTTCGCTGTGTTATTGCATCCCATTGCTTTCTTCTTTAAATGGCGCATCATTGTATCTTGCATTATCGTTGCGTGATCTTTTGTATTATCGAGGCTATATTGGAAGCACCAGGGCACGTCTTCGACAGGCCGTGGCTCGCTTCGACTGTCTCTTTCGCCCGGAATTCCGGACGCATCCTCTGCAGCTTTCGCGTGTCTACCGCAGCATGTCCTGCATGGCTACTGACAGTCATGGTTTTGGCTTTGTAGTCCATCAGCACAGTATCGACAACCATGCCCTTGGATTGCTTGGCAATGGGTACTTCAGAGAGTCCGTCAGCTCTTGTCATTGTCGTAGTCTTCATCCCCGCGCCTTTGCCCGATTGACATACGTGGACGCCGAAGAGGGCCCAACAGGTGGCGCAGCTGCATTTTAATGCTGTGTTGCAAGAGAGTGATCCTGCTTGGTGGTTTAGAGACTTGCGACAATATGAAGCACTGCAGAAGGCAACTTCCAGGCGACGGAGCTTCATGGTCGCCGACTTGGAAACCCAGAAATCATGCAAAGAGGGTACAGCTACAAGCAGTGCTGGCATGAGGCTACAAAGCTCAAGGGGATCAAGGTGCTGGACCGATCCATTAGTGGCGAAGACTCGCGGTTTTGCGTCGTACTCGGAGCACAGACTCTAGGTCCGAATTTGGAGGTTCTCATATTTTTTCGTATGTTGTTAATGTAATATTCAGTTTAATGAATGCGTGACTTTTGCATGCATCTAGAATCCAGACGATGGACCCTGCCTAGGAAGCTAGCTTATTAGATAGCTTTCTAGTGCCTACTTGCCTAACTTGCCTACATATCATCCGTGTTGGCCGCGAATGCTGACTCATTCATTCACACACCATGCCACACACACGCGCGGCTACATGTATGCATGCCTTAGTGGATGTTCAGCTCGACATGTTGCTGCAAAGCAAGGTGGGGTGACGAGGGCTTCTTGACTGCAACCGGAGAGAGATGCCGTCGACTGTGTGTTTTCACATCCCTGTGCAGCAGCTGACAAGACATGCCTTCGCTTCGCAAGGCAAGGGCAAACTCGTGGACATCTTGGCGCAAGATGTCCAGCTATGTGCACGCTTTAACGGCGGAGCGAATGCTGGACACACTCTGCGCCCTTGATGAAATAGGTGGGTTGTACATCTCTCTCTCTCTCTCTCTTTCTTTCTCCTTTCTTTCTGTCTTTCTTTCTATATATAGACACACACATATATATATATGTGTACTTGTATGTGTAATGTATGCATCTATGTTGTCCCAATTTGATGCTGATGCCATCAGCGTCTGCTTCACGAACCGTTGTGTCAGACAGTGCCGCTGCAGAGCATGGTGTCACAGCAATGTGAGGTAGTTTTCAGAGTCGCATTGCCATTAGGGAAAGAAGCCTTCATTTTCAGCTGCTTGTCACCCTCTAGGCTTGTGGATGGAAAGAAGCATCTCGGCGGAGATAAAAGCTTATCTTCACCCGAGTGTGCTGCAGCCGAGGGGGCTTTTTTGGCGTCCTTTGGAAGTTCCTCTGAACCAAATCATGCTTCAGGTATGCCTTTCATCTTCTTCCTTGTGGAATGATCAACCAGGCAGTTGCGGATGTCTGTGAACATGTGTGAGATAGTCGCACCTCACCGGAGAGAAGAGAGCATGCAAGAACCAGGCTACGGGAATGCGGGCATCGTCTAGACGGGTCTGTGAGAGCAAAGTCTGAAACCCCTGGTAGTCGTTGCTCCTCTCTGGCCCCACCGGTGCATATCGGTACGTGAAGCATCCCAGTTTGGGCCCGAAGGTTGCAAGGCTACCTTGATGTAATTTGAGAGTCCATGGGCAAAGAGGTCCTTCCGACTAACCACCTATACAAGAGGGCCATCGATCCAGAAACTGGCAGAGATCCGATTCTGCTGCAAGAAATCCGATCGTGGAAGAAGGCAGTCAGAAGTAGCTGCAATGGGAGCCGGACGTTTGCAATGCTGGCTTTGGTTTGTTCGGCGCCTTTCACCCAAAAGGATGCCGCTCGCCTCGCAAGAAAAGCAAATTGATGACATAGGGCAACGAGTGGCAGAGAGAGGCGAAAGAGCAGCTGAAGCAGGGAGAGCAAAGTCGGACGTGCGGTTTGTTCAAAGCACATGGTGGTTACATGGTGGTTCTTTGGAGTCTGGCCACAGCTATCGGTCAGCTACGCTGACAAGACTGGGAATAAACTTCCTGGCCACGTCGTGCCGGGCGCCGTGTCCACACCAGATCGTTTGCTGGTGAAACATACCACCGGTAGCCAAACAAGCAGAAAAGAATATGGACTACCATGGCCGTCACGCCGCATACATGAGCGCGTAGCCTCCGGCTGAAACGAATCAGTAGCAGGTAGCAGCTGCCGGTGAAAGCCGTTCGTGAGAGCGGCGATAGGCATCTTGCGCCTTGATGCAGGCTTGCAAGAACCTCATTGGAAACGGCGCGCTGCCTTAGTCCCCATCTGCTGATCGGCAAGCTTCCACTGTTGGAGAAGTTCGTCTGATCATCTCTGATCTGAGGTGTCGTGGTCCACGTCCCCACGCTTATGAGGGAGTTGCAGGCGAAAGCCCCATGGCTTTGTGACAGCGCGTAGCGACGTTGATCTCATTTCTTCCATGAGCAGGAGCTGAAGGAATTCGACCCTCGAGCACTCGAGAGGGTGTTCATTTCGACACGCCATGAGCTCGGACGAAACAAAGCTGTGGTTTACATCATGGTTGGGTTTGTTTGCGTGCGTCCGCGGGAGGTGCCCACATCCTCTTTGACAGCCACCAGGCTCCCTTAGCAAGCTCCGGATCCAGTATTAGTATAGAAGTCTAGTATAACCCGTATAGCCTTATAACCACCCTTATAGCCTTATATCCTTACAATAACCCTTCTGGGAGTGCATGGGGCCGGGCCGGGGTCTTACTGTGCCCTCTGCAGATCATCGATGGCATCCTCGAGGCGGAGCAGGCGCCGACGCCATCTTTTCCTGGCCCTGAGTGCCGCGAGTGTTACTGTATGAGTATAGCATCATGTAAAGTTCACAACCCAATGCCAATATAGTAGTAGTAGTCGTCGTCGTCGTCCTCGTCGTAGCAGCAGTAGTAGTAGTAGTAGTAGTAGTAGGAGGAGGAGGAGGAGGAGGAGGAGTAGTAGTAGCAGCAGCAGCCGCAGCAGTAGTCGTGGTGGTCGTGGTGGTGGTGGTGGCGGCGGCCGTGGTGGTGGTGGGTGTGATGTTCTTTTCTTGTGTACAGTTTGCAGAAGCACAGCAGCTGAGCAGATCTGAGCAGCGAATGTGAGCCTCCCACAGTCACAATTGAGCAGGGCACCAATTCCATTGGCACCACGAAGCGCGGGATTGGCCCATGCTACTCTGCGAAGGCAATCCGTGCCTCGGAAGAGAGCAGCAAAATCTTCTCTCGCCACACGAAGCACAGTTTCAAGCACGAACTGGTGCTATAAGGAAACGGTCTGCGATTTGGTGATCTCCTGCACTTCGAGGCACCCCCATCTGCAACGGCCTCTTTCTCAAAGTGTCTGTCAGACGGGGTATTGACCTCCAGCCGTGCCTTTGTCCGTGAGCTTGTCCTCGCACTCCGGATGCCGTAGCACTTGTAGTTGGACGGGTCGCGATTTCTATGACAGACTGGAAAGCAAAGGCGCAAGCCCGATGATTCCCACGCGTCCGTGACAGTAGGAGTTCGAGCGACGTCTCCGGGAACTCATCGCGTGGTCGCAGCAGCTCGGTTCACGAGCATTTATCCCAAGCACAAGGAAATCATGCCGCTATATGTCGTTCAAATTCCTTATGAGCACAATGCTGTACGGAGCTTGAGGAGCAGCGGATAAACTTACAGTGTTGATGCCCAGGTCATAGGCAGTGAATATGGCCGATTGAGCTGCTGCGTGCTGTTTTAAGCGCTTTGCGGTTCGATCACCAACTCTGACGGTGCCCAGGAAGCGGTTTGGCGACCCTCGCGAGCGGGACTGCAGCTAGCAATCGAGATCGGACTTGTCTCAAGAGATTGCAGCCTACGGCGGTATTGGAAGCAGATTTCAGAGGACACGCCGGCTCAGCTGCAGCTGCGCAAGGCTACCTTCCCAGCTGCTTTGGGGTTGCTCTACTCACCTGACTGAAGCCTTTCTGCATCAGCTGCCTCTTCGGACAGGCATTGCGGGAATACAACACCAAGTATGCCTTCGATCCGGAGGAGGGCAAGAAAGGTGGAGTCAGTAACGTGGAGGAGGAGACCCTTGAGTTGTCATTGCCGTCCTTGCGCTGTCCTGGCTGTTGCATTCAGCGAGGAGATTGCGCGATATCGGCAATTTGCTGAATTGCTTCGCCCTCAAATCGTGGACAGTGTTACGCTGATCCATGAAGAAGCTTCGTTCTGCATTCGAGTGCTTTTGCCCATCATATCATCATACCCATCTTATTGACGGAGAAGCCTTTTTTGCAACTCCGTTGATGTTTGTTGGGTCCAAGGATATCTCACGTGGCTACAAGGCATCTTCCCCGCACTAAGCAAAAACATTCCATATGGTTTGTTTTCTTCGACACTGCTCAATGCAAGTACAGAAAGCTTCGTCTAAAGCAGGCAGCACGAAACTGTTTGAGCGGCGAATTTCAGTCAACTGTTGCCACTCCCTCACTCTCTCTTTCTCTCAGGTCCTCGTTGAGGGAGCCAATGCAGCGCTTCTGGACATTGACTTCGGCACATATCCCTTTGCCATGCACTTAAGCACGCAGGCTGTGTGCCCTCCTGTTCGGGACTCTGCAACCTCTAAGGTCACATCGTCCAACACAACGGTCGGAAGCGTCTGCACAGGTTCGTTTCTGGTCATGCAACACTGGCAATCGGCGATGGGCAGTGCAGGTCTGGGCGTGCCACCAAAGCAGATTGACACCGTCATCGGCGTCGTGAAGGCTTGCCAACGAAGCATCCTGTCGTAAGTGTACAAGACCGAGTCGCCTGAGAGGCCTACACCACGCGCGTGGGGCACGGTCCCTTTCCAACCGAAGCTCGGATTCGGACGACGTGCAAAACCCCATCTACAGAATGAGAATCCGCCCACTGCCACTCTCCTGCACCTGAACTTAGGAGCTCCAAAACGAAGCGCAGACTCTGGATGACCATCTGGAGACCTACATTGGCCCTGCACAATCCATGGCCCGTAAGGCGCGCGACTCGTTGAGTTCCGGCTGTGATATGCAGTGATGGTGCAGACTTGGAGGGTCACAGCTCTGGTCCCTACGAGCTCAAGCCGGACCAGCAGGCCGCGAAGCTCATGAGTCAATGAGATCATTATGACCTGCATCCAGACCACAAGACCCGGAATAGCCTGTAAAAGTCCCAGGTTCGGGTGGGAGAGATGCTTCAAGAAGTGGGCCACGAGTACGGCACCACCACTGGACGGCGACGCAGATGCGGTTGGCTGGATCTCGCACTTGTGAAGTACAGTGCCATGGTGACGCTCGGCTTTACCATCTTGACCTCGCCTCGCCTGACTAAGAGACCTTCTCCCATGCTGTGGGGTTTAGGCTTTCTTTCGTTTGGTGTTTCAAGACGACGTGCTGTCTGCACGATGCCCCCCCAAAATGGATGGCAATTGGAGCCCAGGGCCGGGTACTCGTTTCTAAAAGGCTCTACTTGTTTCTTTTTGCGTGGCATGTCATTTCATGACACAAGAGTCTCCAGATGAAATTATGACTGCCAGCAATAGGCAGCATTCACAGCCATTCACAACTATTGGGCATCCCACTCGACATGTTTTGGAAGGAACGGCTTTGACAGCATCAACCTCACCAAACTAGACGCGAGAAGCCCAGCTCATGACAGGAGGTCGGAGAGCCGCATCGGTTCTTCTCGAACTGTGCACCCCGAGCTGAGGTCCTAACAGGCCTCAGGCAAATCCGAATTGCGATAGCCTATCGCAACAAGCAAATGACAGAGGCCCGGCCTTGCCTACGCCCACATGGAAGTAGCGGCTTCGCTGCTGAAGCGTGTGTGCAGGTCCGGTTGCCGCCGGGCTACTTTCCCTCACACCTTGAGGATCTGAAAGAAGTCGTGTGTCGCTCGACTTCGTGGCTGACAGTACACGCTGCATCGCTGCATCCCGGCGCAATCCGTGCATCTCAGGTGAATACGAGACGATGCAAGGCTGGTCCGAGGACATCTCCAAGGTCACGGACTTCGCCGACCTGCCAACCAACGCAAAGAAGTACGTCTTGAGGACCCAACGAAGTCACAAGGCTGGAAAGAGGCCTGCAGAATCCGAACTCTGGCAGGATCCAGGAACTCCTGGGGATTCCCGTTTCTTGGGTGGGAGCGGCTTGACGGCAAGAATCAGAGTAGGTGTGCTCTCTTTCGTGTGCTAGGTTTCCACTGCACGCGATGTATGCTTGCTTGAAGTGCTGTATGACAGCATCAGCACAATATATTCATACTATGTCAGAAGACGTCGTTGGCATCCCTTCGGGTTGAAAGAATTGACTTTGTCTGGCGAATCTCCAGTGACGGACTCGTTCAGGTCGGCCCCGACCGCTCCAGCATGCTGAAGGCAGCAGGGATGTGTCACACTGTTCAGCGAAAAAGGCTGAGAAATGCATGCTGTCGACGTTGTGTTTCCTGGCCGTAGGCGTTAACTTGAGCTGTCTCGCATTGTTAAAGTCACAGGACATATCCATCTGGCAGAGAGAGCCTGAGTGACATCCTGAGTTCGAAGTTCTGTCATGTCTGGCACAGGTGGACATCCCGATCGTTCGGCCAGATGGTTCAATCTCAGCGCCTAGACGTTATGGAGACTTAACTGAGCCTAAATCTAGTTCTACTGCTATCAAGTGCAGCCTGGCTAGCTGCGAGTGCCAAAAGGTGACTTCGCGTTTTCTGTGCCTTCGGTGCGTAGATGCTGCGACTTCGACATGGCTGAGGCTTCGCCCAATTTTCCATCCAGTCCAATGAGTTGCTTGGAAATGCAGCAAAGCAGGTCTCTGGCGAGCATGTGCGGCATAAAGTACGTCGACGACATCTAAGGAGGGAGCCCCCGCATCTAGCCGCGCCTATGGCAGCTTTTGACTCCACTGAACGGATTTACTCCAGACCGACTTGTGCAAACAAGTCTGGTGGGTTCCGAGCTCGTGGATGGAAAGCGATGCTCTTGGCTGTGAAGCCCCGTGGGGGCGCATGACTTTAAGCACTTACCTAGACTGCTGACGGCACCTGCATGCTCGTCACGCATTCTCCTGGGCGGGTGATGAGTGTGTACCCCGTATACACTTCCCGCTCACCACGACCCATGATGCGAACTTGCCTCAGCGCCGCGAAAAAAGCTGTGACCGATGACCTGTGCAGCCGCGAGTTGGAAATGACAGTTGAAAGTCTGTTTTCCATTCCGTATGCGGAGGCCTTCCTGCGGTTGGTCGGCCGGGAGCTTGCAGAAGCGCAGCAGGAGACGGAGGGGCCTGCCGCCGCACTGCACGGGAACTGGCTGCACCCCCCCCCGTCCCCCACTCTCTCTCCGTCTGCACACTTCGAGTTGAGTCGAGTCGAGCTTGTTTTGGTGCACTCGCTCCGAGAGGAGGGCCTCCGAGGAGCGGCCCCCGGTGTTCCGCGGGGAGGGGGAGAGACAGTCTCCGCCAAAGTTTGAAAGAGAAAGAGAGAGAAAGAGAGAGAGAGCAGAGATTTAGGGCACAGAGGAAACTCGTAGCAGAGTTTTATGAACCGAAGTCGACTGCCCTGTGCGGCTGTCGCTAGAGGCGCCTTTCTTCGATTGGACTGCGATGGGGACGGTGCTTTGAGCGCTTCAGACTTGTCTGCTGGGCTTCGAGGCCTGCTGCTGTATTTTTTTTTCCGCCGGACGCTGCACAGAGAAAGTTCAAGCAAGAGCCTTCGCATGCGCTGGCACAACCAGGCACGACGCCAGACGAGCACAGAGACCGCGACAGCAGCGGCCTCTTTCCCACGTTGAGCCTCCGCGCTCGCATCCCAGCTGCTGAGTCGAAGGCTTGCGTCCGGACGGGTCTGGCATGTCCTACATGCGCTGCCCAGGCCCAGAGCAATGATGCCGAAGACTGGCTGGAGGAGATCAGGCATGGCTTGTGGTGCTGACGGAGCCGAGTCCATACCCTGATAAGTAACTCGAAGGTCCTTGGTGGCAACAGCGGGGACAGTCGGAGACAAGATAGGCTTCAGCGACTTCCTCGCCGTGATGCTGCTGGATGCCAAGAATGACTTAGAGATACATCGAGCGATTGTTAGGCTTTGCCCCTATACATCTGAATCTACGAGGCCATACCATGTCGCGGTGCAGGAGCGCCTTCAACTGGTCCTGCGGTTCTTGAATTGTGAAGTGCTCTTTTCATCACTTGGTGTGAGGAGGCACAGCTCAGGAGCGCCTTCAGCCGCTTGGCGGACTCAAAGGGCTCCGGGCGGACTTTGCTGCCAAAGTCGACACTGCAGACTGCGCTGCAGGCAGGGCAAGAAATGGCTCTAATAGTCCTGGTAAGCTCACTTAGACTTGGGCTTTGCTGGCAGGTAGGGCAAGCAGTCAGCTTCCCAGAATTCAAGCTTTGGTCGCTGCCCTGCTCGTGTAGTTTCAAGGTTTCCGAAGAGGAAGTGGCAGCCTTGAATGCCGGGCTTCCCGAGGACCGTTGTATTACAAAGCTGCCCTGAGACTGAGACGTAAGTCTGACTGACAGTCCAGGAGCTGAGCTACGTGGAATTTGTGCAGCTTGTGGGTCTGCATCCCTAATGGGCCTAGGACGAGCCATGAGAAGCACTCGGCCTCTTGCTGCAGATTGCATTCAGTGTCCGCGTAGCTGCACAGCGATCGATTCTGAAAAGACCGTCAGATGAAAGGGAGTCGGTCGACTTGCAGTGGAGTTGTTTTGCTTAGACCTTCAATGGGATTAGAATCAGAAGGCAACCAGTAGGACCAGGCTTCGTTGCATGCACAGGCTGCATCGTGGCGAGCTTGAATGTTGACTTGCTGAAACTGGCCCAAGTGTGTCTCGAATTCCCACGCAGGTATCTGAAGCACCTGGAGGATACATCCAGCGTCCTGCTGGCCTGTTGTTGCAGCTTTTGCACTTGCTTGATGCATCTTAACGCTGTCCTCGCCACGTCAGATGTTGGTGCCGAGTCCAGGCATTTCCACTGCGGCAAGATGCCAAACTGCTGGAGGCTCTCGCGTGCACTACATGTGCCAGTGGGAAGCAGCGACAGCAACTGTAGCATGTTGCTGACTGCGACAGGTACATGAGCAATTCGCTGACGCGGCCTTCTGAATGGGGAAATTAGAAATATTCGCTTGTGGTGACATTACGAATGATAGCATTCTGTAGTCTGGCACACGTAACATCGCACGACATGGAGTGATATATTGTGTTGTTTATTGGATTTATAGACTTTGCATGGTCTCTCTTTCTCTATCTCTATTTTTTCTCTATCTCTCTCTCTCTCTCTCTCATTTTTTCTTTATTATGTTCTGTATTTTTTGGCGTTTGATGGTGGCATGATTCATTATGCACATAAGAGAATGTTCTGATTTATGGGTATGTTGCTATGGAACGGATAATTACCATTGTCGTTAGTTGAGGTTGTCTGCTCAGATATAGGTCCAGAACATTTTCGGGCATATTTTATATGATGAGATATGAATAGAGAATATTGTATGTTATTAACGAATTCTTGAAGAAATCGATATATTCAAATCTTTATAGACGATTTTTTGTTCTTATGTTTATCGATTATTCTTGAATTTTGATATGATATTCATAAGAAGATATTTAGATGGATTAGGCGATTTTTCTTGGATAGATGGTAAGAGATATAGAAATTCTTCTAGGTGAAGAATATTTCAAAAATTTAATATTATTTTAGATATATATATGGGCTATTTTTTTTTTATTGAGAAAATTTATATTATTTTATTTAATGGTAGAAGTGTTATATAATAATAATATTATTTCGTTTTTTTCTTAATAGAAAAATTGATTATAAAATATTTAGAAAATATCTATTTATAAGAATTTTTAGAATTATCTTGGCAAATGTATATATTAAATAAATCGGGATATATTTAAATTCGTATTTAAATAAAATCGTAATTAATAAAAAATTTGTTTAAATTTTGAATTTTTATATTCTGTTGAAAATATCTTGATAATTTAGTATGATAATTTCTCTTACAAAAAATCTATGTTTTTTTCTAATTTATGTCGAATTAGAGAGGACTCGCTGATTCTTTGTTGAAGGTAAGTTATCGATATATATTTTTTTATTATGTAAGAATAAATAAATTTTCTATCGATTTATAGAAAAATATGTTATTTTTTCTAATATTTCGATATCGTTGCTATTATTTGCCTTAATGGTTTATTTAGACACATGAATCGTAAAATTATGAAAAGATAATTGGCATAGAGAGGCAACAAGAATCTCTATAGGTAAGATATCGAGGCTGTTTATCCTTGTTGTAATATTGTTGCTCATCTGTAGTTATATGTCTGGCAAACTCGTTATTTCTAATTCTAAGCATTAATTTCGTCGTACTTATTACGAAATTCCGAGTTGGGCTCCCATATACATAATAATCTAATTAAATTCGAAGCAGAATAAAGATATTTTTTAATTATAATTATTACCACATATAAATATCATATCTTCGAATTTTAAATATATTTGAATATATATATATATATTTCGAAAGGTTCGTCTATTCGACAAATTAGAAGTTAATTAATTTTATTAAAGAAATATACTCAATTTAATAGCAAAATCTTTTTTATCGCGCGTAATAGCTTAGAAGAGAAGATTTAACGATAGATAATATTATATATGAAGAATTAATCGTTATAATATCTTTGTCCAATATTCGATAAAATTTAAAATATAGATGGTTTAGAAATTGAATATTTATATTTTAAGAAGCGAAAAATCAATAATAATATCTCTAACATATTACCATGGACTTATTCACTCCAAGCAGATAAATTATCTATAATAAAAATCATTTCCAAGATTTACAACTCGTGGCGACGAAATAATATATTTATCAAAATATATCAGTTAATCGATAAAATCGTAATCGAGAAATATTGGCCATAAATTTTTTAATTAGAAGTCAAATTCAAGATTAATTATAATCAAATAATATTTATAATATACCCAGAGCGATAATTATATTAATTTATCGCATAATCATCTTTAAATATAAATCAATCATATAATTCATTATATCAAGAAATCGCAGAAGTATATCAATCTCTTTTCTCGATCGAGTCTTTAAAATATAAGCTCGATTTAATTTATAATAGACCATCTAGTAGAATTTCGAAATTCAAGTATTTTCCAAATTTATTTAATATAGATTTTTTTCGAATCTCAGGCATCTATATAAAATTCCCAATAATCTTCGTATTCTAATATGAAATAATCCTTAATTACGCTCTTTCATCTCATTCTAAAATTTAAATCAAGATCTTTCGAATTTACGGGTCATATTTCGCCCGAAATTTGGAAAGAAGTCTTAGCATTTCGCCTTCCTCCGCGCTAATATATTATTAACAACTTTCGTCTTGGCCAGGAGAGAACCATTCGCACTATATAAGTAGACAGTGGGTGCGTTAACGTTCTAGTTTGCTTGCTATATAGTAGTGGCGCACCGGTCATAGAACTCGAGAGAGAAACACGGAGTGCAAGATTCATTCGACAGAAATTTGCTTCTTTCTAGCTATATTAAAAAGTAGATCGAGATTACGCCATTTATGGGATCGTCTATGTAACGTGTGTGCGAGTGCCCCCAAAGAATCCAAGATCTATGGCGAAACGGTCCAAGATGAGGATTATTCAAGATTTATAAGAGACCTTTCAAGAATTTGAAAGCGAAACTTCATCTGGGACATGGTTGTTGTATTGGATCAACCATACATATGTATTTTGCTAGTGCCAGGCTATCGCGGATCTAGCGCCAAGGTGGGGTTTAACATGCCCAATATGGGGTCCCGCCTCATAGCGAAGAGAAAAAGCGGTCTCTAAACATAATAATGGCCACCTCTACTTGAACTCTTTAACCGCCCTTTTTGGTGAAAGCCCAGATGTCCTCGCAGGCAACCGTCCATTGTCCAGCCGTTTGGCTCAATTTGTCTGTGTAAATGTGTGGCCATATGTTGTCCGACCATCTTGTCATCGTGCCGCCTCAACATGGCCAAGGAATGATGCCAAAACCTATCAAAGGTGCAGTTTACACAAGAAGGCGCTGAAGCTCCCCGAGCGTTGTACTGTGTCCCATCAGCTTGTCTTGACAGTTTTTTCACACCTTCCTTTTGGATATTCCTCGTAGTCTTGATGTGCTCCAAACTTATGGCTAAAGGCAGCGCCGTCGTCTCAAAATAGTCCTGGAGTCTTTTGACTAGGCCGGCACTCAAGCCTGCGATGGCATTGTGAAATGGAGGGGCCAATTCCGAGCAACCACGTTGCATCTTGCATTCCGGGCGTGTCGAGTCGGAGTGAGCACGCGCATTAAGTGCTTTCTGCGGCTCAACCTTCTTCTCGTCGCATTTTCAGCTTTTTCTTCGACCATGCAACCTAAGTGTTGAACACAGCTCTTTTTTCTCCTTCTGAGCTCACCTGCATTAATCTCGTCACAGCCCTCATCTACAAGTCGGTTCTGCGCAGGCACATCTGGCGTCAGCTGTCCTACAATCCTTCCGCAGACCAATGCTGAATTAGGGACGGCATATCACACACAAAGATCAATTTTTATGTTTGCTCTAGACAAACTGCTATGATTGTCTCGAAGGCATGGGAAAGCCAGCATGCCAGGGGTTGCTTGCGCAGTCCAAAGTAGCTGCATGCCTGGGGCAAGCTCAATTTATGCACGCACTCTTATCCAGTCGGCGTGTAGCACTTGCCCAGGTTCTTGCTACGATAGAAATGCCATGTCCAGCATCATGCTTGTTCTTTGTCGCTTAGCCTTTGCAAGATACAGGCTGAAACTCCCGCGGATTGCATTTCCGAGAACATTGTTTCTACAGTACAGTACACAACGAATTGTTGGCAAGCAGACGGAAGCCGTCACCACGCATCACACTTGTCGTCATGCGCAGAATCAGCCGTCGCTGCGGTGTTCACCTTACTTTCAAGGCTGTGTAGCGTCTGCGTCGGGAAGAAGGGCGAGCGAATGAACGCAGCAAAGCTTGCAGCAAGCCGAGCTGCAACGGCAGTGACGTAGAGGGTTGCTGTCCCGGCAAACTCACGCGTGGCTTCATCATGCCTTCGGGGTATGCCATCTCGCTCGAGCAGGAGAACTGAATCAAGCCATATGGTCTCACTCAACTCCTTCCACAGTGCGCAATACAAACGAAACCATTGCAGAATCCAAGGCCATTCCAACCATGAGCTCGTTTCATCTCAATTTCAACTTGCCGGTCCTGTTCGATAAACGAGAACAGGACTGCCGTCACGATTGGCATACCTTGGGACGGGAAAGGCAGAAGATGTGGTCTGAATCTTATTCCTTCGCTTTTTGTCAGAGAGAGTCACCGAAGAAGCAAATCTCGCCAGTTGCAACAAGACTACATTCGGACCGGACTCAGCTGGCGCCCGCGGACGAAACCTGCGATCGTGTTGGAGCTGCTTTTCATGCAGCCGCGGACGCCTTTTGATATGGTGCGCATGGAAGAAAGACACCGGCCTTGGGGAATCTGCTTTGCCTGGAGGAGGATTATATTGTATATGCTGTAGGTCCACGAGGAAAACTGCTGCGACCACATGCTACTGAGCTTACCGCCATGTGCTGTCCTCCACCTGGAGTTCAAGCGGTGTATCTTCTCTGACGCTGTCGTGATGTGCTCCAGAAATAAGTTGGAAGAGCCACAGCTCGCTGCTACCCATAACCTCGCAACGTCAGGAATCCTGCTCTGCTGCATGCAAAAGCTTGCTGCTGATTCCATGCGCCTGCTGTGTGTGTGTGTGTGCGGCATCGTGGAATCGTCGTCCCGCCTGGTGCAATATCTGTCGACATGGACCGTGCATCCTGTGGGTGGTGTGTTGACCTGAGAAGCAACGATGCCAACGATCCGATATAATCCGATAGCTACCTGGACCTCAATGCATGCCTTGCATGTGCTCGGTGCTGTTCCTCTCGCACACACACACACACTCAGCATGGGACATGGTCGGGGGAGCCTCAATGCTTATCGCGCTGACCCCGTGAAACCATCGCGATGTCTTCGCCGAAACCGCCTCTGAGGTGCAGGCTGCCGCCGATGCAAACCTTATGTCCGGCCGTGTCCAAAGCAGCTCCCATTCGTCATGACGACTTGACATGCATCTTATTGTTGCGCCGTGTCTGTTCGGTGACACTTTTTACTATGAAGTTTTCCGAACTTGTTTCAAACTTCATGATGGCGCAAGAACCACTAGTACTAGTACAAGCACCAGCGCTCGCAGTAGTAACTAGTCATAGTGGCAGTAGTAGTTGCTGTTGCTGTTGTCGTTGTCGTACTACCACTCTCACCACCACGACGACGACTACCAATACTACTACCATCGGCAGCACCAGGACATCCGAGGCCCAGTCAGGCTATCTAATCACTGAGGACGAAGCCATACAGTGGGCCTCCCGATCGATCGTTTGAATGCAAAGGCCGGCAGGCTTTGGCCAACCCTCTTTAGAGGGTGACCAGCTTCAGAAAGCTGGTCCGGGACTGGGTCTGTCTCCAGTACTCCTAGTAGCAGTAGTAGTAGTAGCAGTATAATTACTCCTACTACTATTACTACTACTACAACTACTACTACTATTACTGCTACTACTACTACTACTGCTACTACTGCGTGCTACTATTGCTAAGCGGCGGGTTGCACGACCACTACCTCGCTACCACCATACTGCTCCTGGTGCTCCTGCCCTTGATGAGACTCGCGTGTCTGGCTCTGGCTCTCAAGAGGAACACATGTGCAAACTTGGGCGTCAGGGCCGGTAGGGGGTTGGTAAAACTGAAACATGGTGCAACATTGATTCGTTGCTGTAGCTGGACATCAAGGGCTCGGCCTGAGGGTTTTGTTGACGGACCTTGGTGCACAGGATGGCTTTGAACAGACACAGAGACTTGCACTGTTCTTCTGCTTTCTCGCTCGTTTCCGCGCTTCCCCGTATGCAACTACAGCCCGTGGCTGTCTAGGAACCAGCTGCTGGATTCCAGATGCGCCTGTAAGTGCAGGCGTTGATAAGAAGAGAGACCGCAGATTCAGACAGCTCTACAGGCTGAAGCACGTGCTGCCTTGCCTAATGCTCCGCTTCCGAAAAACAACCCATGAAGGACGGATGCTTTACCTGGGGCACTGCTTCTCTAAACAAGCGTGCAAAGATGTTGAGTGGCGTGTCCCTGTAACACCTCCCTGTGAGCAACAGCTAGCTGTCCGAATCTGAGTGAACAGCTCTAGTCTGTCTCTCGCGGATTCACGTGCTGATTCGCGTCAGCTTCGCGTCAATGAGTCTTGCCTCCATGCTCGGATCACTGACAGCAACTACGTTCACGGAGAATGAAAGAATTCGCAAGATGCAAGAAGCAACATCCCACCATCATAACATCCATCAACTTCCAACATTGCCGAGCTGGCTACTGCACGGCTCGCAAAGGCACAGTGTGCTAAAACTGGGCAAGGTGCTGTTCAGCATGTCACGAGCCATTGCTTTGACCTTGGAAGTGTCTCCAGGGTTGTCCTGCGCACACTTCTGCAAGTCGTCGGCGTCACGGTACGCTTGATCCTTCGGCAGCCCAGCATAGAGACTGCAGTATGCGCAAGCCGCTAGCCGACTCGTACTCAGCAGTTGCACGGTATCGGATTTCTGGGTCTTGTCCTACCTTCTTGTCATCTCGTTAAAAGAGGATGTGGCATCATGCTCCAAGCACTTGACTGTGTGACGATCTGGGTGGCGGTCCCTGTCAACCCGCAGTGGCCCTCGAATGCACATGGTGCGCGTTTTTCCTGAGATGTTTGACAAGCATCTGCTGGAGATAGCCGTGCAAGTTCTTGCAAGTATCCGCAAAGGACGTAGTTTGATGTTTAAGCTTTAAGCATAAGCTGCGGTGCCATGTGCTGAATCGGATCTAAGTTGCCATCGTGGTTGTGAACAGCTCCAGACTTTGGAACCTGGATCTCAGCCCGCCAGGTCCGCTCGCCGGTGCTTTGGCGCGCCTTGCTTTCAACCACTGTGGATTTGTTCACCTGTCCAGGAGTCGCTCGTGGCTTACTTCTGACACCAGAAGCTTCACTGGAAGCTTTTGCGTGACCTATCCTTCCTGCTTCATGTCATTGCTGTTGGCTACATGCTGTTGTGGGTGAAGATGGCTTCATGCCGCCTTGGCCACCGAGGTCGACTGCACTAATTCTGCTGTTGCTGCTATTGTTGGACCGGCGGCGGCGGTGGCAGTGGCAGTGGCGATATTGGTGGTGATGGTTGCTGCCGTTGTCGTCGTTGTCGTTGTTGTTGCGGTTGTGGTTGTGATTAAGGTTGCTGTTCGTGTTGGTGTTGCTGCTACTGCTGCTGCTGCTGCTGCTGCTGTCGTTGTTGTTGCTGCCGTGTTGCTGCTCCAAGGGCGAGGTGGTGATAACTGTGATGTTGTGGTTTTGTCGTCAATGTCACTGTTGCCTATCATGTGGCTGCTTTGGTGGTGTAGGCGGTTGTCGTTGTCGTTTTGCCTGTCGTTATTTGTCTTTTTGCTTTTTGTCTTTTGGGCCGTTGGCTGCTGGCTGGTTTTTCCGTTTCCACTGCTCTCTTGGCTTTACAACGCAGCTACTGGAGGATTGGGTGAAAGCTTGGCTGACTCTGTAATACTCGACTCTATAAATACCGGTCGTTGCTTTCAGCAGACATTACATGATGAACACCGTTGTGAATGTCGTGCCTGCCACTCCGTCGCCTAGCTTCTGTTCCTTCCGCAAGCATCACCACCGGATCTTCCGGGGTTGTGTGGTGATGGATGTCACAAAACACACGAATTCACATGTGTTGCCCTAGAATCACAACACTGATGACCCGCGTTGGCGTGAAGGCTGACGACTGCGATCATGCAAGCCTCGTGTCTCCGTGCCTTCAAAATTCAAAGGTGGGGCCATCACCTCTAGCACTGACAATTGCAGGTCGGCGCTGGGAGGCGCAAGAAGGTGTGGCCCGAACCCACTGGATGTGCCCAAAGATCTCAGTTTTCGGACAAGCTCTTCCAGAAACGGACTCTAAGGCTCTCGTCTGGCTGGAAGACGGGACAGAATGCTCGAATGAAATCAGTTTCAGCGTGTGCGTATGTGTGACTGCACGTACCCAAAGACAGGAAATGGATCTTAACAACCCTGTCGTTCGCCTTGGCTTTCCCACGTGGTATCATGAGAGGAATTGGGCGTAGTTTGGCCTCTGAGGTCCCATGGGACCTACTACTTGTCGTGTGGCGTCGTCAACGTCAGAGTTAAGCTAGGGGGAACCCGGCGGTGCAATGTTTCTTCATTGGACATTTGTCCATGCCTCCTGGCCTTTCAACTTCCGTCCACTTTCGTAACTAATCAAAGCTGGTCGCCGGCAGACTGCACCTGCAGAGTCCGTCGGTTTTCAAGGACGTCCCGCAGATGTCTGGTTGTCAGGAAAGTAAAACGACGACAAGAGAACCTCAAGTTCTGCATTCCAGTAGTATTCGCATGTTCTTCCAGAATACACCATGATGTCTGGTCCTTTTCCGAACACCTCTGATGCAGTGAGTCCGTCGGGTGACCTTTCAGCCGTGGTTGTATGTCAGGCACGGGTGACCGCGTCCCAAGCCGGGCCACCACGACACAACAGGAATATGCCTGTCATTACTTAGACTAGATTCTCCGCCGAAGCCTGAAACATGTCAATCAGTCATGCTAACGAAAAGGAAATTGAGGGCATGAAGTGTCCAGGCAAGACGGTCTGATGCCTTGGACTTAGTCATCAGTCGCTCCCGATCATCATGCAGGTGCATCTGCCCGACGGCGGTGGGTAGACGCCTAGCGGTCCTCCCTTTCCGTCGCGGTTGGACTTCCCACCCCGGAGAAGCGAAGAGAGTGGCGAAGAGCATGACCGCACACGAAATACGCCACCTTCACCTATCTCTACAAACATCGCCGGCGAAGAAATTCAACGAGTTGGGATGGCGATTCAAGAGCCTCGGACGTGCACGTGTGAACCCGACATGTCCAGGTCTTACACGCAGCCCCTGCATGCCCTCTACTTACTCTACTTGTATCCCCTGAGCCTTTCGAGGCAACTACAGCGTTCAGATTCAACGTCAAAACTCAGCGATACCAAACTTGACATTTTCAGATCGGTCTCGATCCGAGGGGCCTGCACCAACTTGTCTTTGCCGTCCGGCCATACGGGTTTACACAATTGTACGACCAAAACAGACTTCTTGCCAGCTGCAACGATGGCCGATCGCAAGTCGTAGGGTCTCAAGGAACCTCCGAAAGAATAACCACCGGCTTGGGATGCACGCTTCCCGAAAGAACTCTGAACTTCCATCGTCGCTTCGTTATCCGAAAGAAGAAGGCAACGACAAAGCCTCCACCTCTGCATCTGCATCCTTTCCATCCTCAGTGCCCGGTGATGGCATGGAACTCGGGCAACAAACTCGCCTTAGGAAATCCAGGTCAGCCAGATGCAGCGAGGGTGCCGGTGAAGCCGCTTTTCTGTCATTCTCTTTCTTCGGGGATGGTGATCTTCGTCGGGGAGGCGATCGGGGCGAACTGTGGCGTCTTGGCGGCGAGCGCTTGCGAGAGTCCCGTCGGCGCGCGGGTGACCGCCGACGCGACGGTGTGCGCCGGGAGTCCGAGCGGCGCCGCGCCCGTCCTGATCTGGACCGCGACGGGTCAAAGCGCGGCATTTCTGGCAAAGGGTGCGCGGTGATGCTGCAAATGTTCGTGTATACTTGTTATACAGGACTGATAGGTCACGTATCTGCAGTGGACTGTAGCTCATGAATACAAAATCGATGTGACTTCTTGAGGCTCGTGATCCGGCTTCCCAAATGGCCTATGTAGCTCACTGCTCGAGCCACGACTTTCGCACTGGAATGAAGCATGAAGCGAGCCATTCGACCATGTACGACGTCAGGATCCCATGGCCTAACTGCTGGATACTTGCTACTGCTACATGAAACATTAGTGATGAAGCTTGCTCCACATATGCTACTTGACAGATAGGTAGATATGGAGAACCGTACACATCTCGAGCTCCAGGCTCTGGATGGATTGTGGCATTGACCTGTCGCGTTTCGGCACTCGGACAAGCCAGGCGAGGTTCTTGGTGCGAAAACGGTTGAGGAGAGACACATCCAAGATTGCTCGGCTTTGGTGTCGTTCTATACTGCGACAATGAAATCTAACAACAAGGAAGGGAATCTGAAGAATCGTAGTGGCAACTGCCCGGGGTCCTGTATTGGGGAAGTGGGGTTGAGGTTTCGGGGGTTGAATTTGGAAATCCAGGATTGGGGAATTAAGTAATGGCCATATTAGGTTAGCCTCGCGGGGTTTACCTGGTTGTCAGAAACAAGCGCATATGGCATATATATACACATACATACATACATGCATACATGCTTTCAAGCAGAAAGGGAGGGTGGTGGGGGGTAAGCTAGGCAAGTGCAGGGGATCCCGGGGGGGCCCTAGCCGATGTCCCCTCAGGCCGCAGTGATCCGAGGGAGCCTTGTTACAGGTACCAGGTCACCACTCAAAGCCATTGTCAGGGTTACAGGGCGGGTCGCCTAGAATCTCAAAGGCCCCCTAAGTGAAAAGGGGGCATGCAGCCCTAAGGCGTAAGACGCTAGTTCATATGAGTGCTTCGGGTCTCAAAAGGCATCATGTGGAGCGGAAAAAGCCGGATGGCTCCGTCTCTACATACAGCTGAAGCTTAAGGGGCTTGACTCCAGTATGGCGTGCATGCCTTCGAAGTATATTGCTAACGAGCGGAAGCCTAAGTGCTTGAAGCAGCAGTGGCTGGCAATTGCGGTTTGGAGAACCGCACCTTGAACCTGCAAGAAAATTGTTGTCCCACCTGCGCGCTCGTGACGATCCGTCTGACCTTGCAGATTCTGCGAGACTTGCGGACTGTCGCAAGATTTCCAAAAGCTACTGAGATCATGAGATCAAGCCCAAGCAGTCTTTTGAAGCAGGCTTGTGTTCCGCCAAGCCACAGAACTCTGGATTCGTTGTCGCATGTCCTCCTGTAAACAAGTCTATGCAAGGCCTGGTGTCTTGAAGTCTTGGTTGCATACAGCCTTTGGTTCTGTCCTCTGCATCTGCCGCTGGGTTGATCTCTCGGACTCGGCACAGGAAGCGAGCTCGACTCTACTGTCGTCGCAGGGTGAGCCAGACACGATCTTTACGTCGCATCTCTGACCACACTGAGCCTAGGGAATGAACCTGCTGGTCCTGGGCTGGAGAGCAAGATGTGTGGAGAGCCTCAGCTTGTAACTTCTAGGAGTCATCCGCTCGGACATAACGACAAGCTAAGGCTCGGGCTCAGGGGAACTCGCAAGCTGCCGTGCAGGGCACCTGGGACATCCACTTCCCCACTCTCAGCTTCCGAACATCCTCGCCTACGCTCGGATGCAGATGCCAACCTGACACGGGCGCTTGCAAGCTGCCAGCCAGCTGTCCTGTGAGCTTGGCTCCAAGTATATATGCATATTGCGTGCCTTCGACAATCACTGAATTCGAGTGTGCGACATGGCAACAACGTAATCGTTTTGTTTGGAGAGGGAGGAGGCACCCCGAGAGTCAATGAATGAAAACAGAGCGAATCAATGAAAATAGAGCTATCAACCTCTCATCTTCCGTGCTGCTCCTGTGCCCACAGGCGCGCTGAAAGTGCCAGCCAATCCGGCTAAGCCTGTCAGCAATGTGCAGGAGTTTGTCGACAACAGCTGCTGAAATCCTGCCGGAGCGAACAGCATGACAAGTCGAAACGACAAGTCCTGCCAGCCTAGCGAACTGTACTGTAGATCCCATGTGCGATTTACGACGTGCGCGACGATGGACTCCTGTCTGCAGTCAAAGGCTTGCCAGTGCTTCCCTGCCTCCAGGCGGCACTTGCGCAGAGCCCGTGAGCAAGAACCTTCTGCCAGGCGGCTGAGCATCGTATCGTCGTATCGTCGTATGGGCAGGCTCAGGCCGGAACTGTGGCGCAAACGCCCAACTCGAGCGTCCTGTGCGGCCCAAACAGAGCCGTCGCAGCTCTCAAAACCAAGCCGCCGTGTGCCTTCACCGTTGTTCGTTGCATGACCTTTCTGCAACACAAGCACACGCGTTTGAGTTCCTGCAGCAGCCTGCAAATGCCCACCTTTCTGATTTGGTTGGTCATGCTCTTGCCAAAATGCTTGGCCTTCGGACTTCGGTCAGTAGCAGCTCGAGCGAGAGAATCTCAAAGCGTTAGCCCTGTGGTTCTCATCTTCCAAACATCGCAACGCATTGCTCATGTAAGGAGTCTGCTTTCCATCACCATAGCTCTCTCGGCGGAACGGGGGTCCAAATTCTCCTGCGCGGCGTTAGACATGGACGAGCAACATCCAGCTAAGCTGTCGAATGTTGTTGCTTCAAGCTCTGAACAGGAACTGAATATTACGCTCTTGTCTGCAACCTCTTCTTGTACCGGATGTTGTTCAGGCCTTTCCTGCTTTTCCTCCTTTCGGGTCGCCTCTCCTGCCTTCTCATTCGACACAAAATGAGAACCCAACTCCTAGCATAACGCAAGAAACGTGAGCAAACCAAAAGCGAACAACGTATGCGACCAGATGTAGAAAACACAGCATCCGCACCCCGAACGAGCAAGTCAAGAGTATAACCACAAAACGAAGCCGAGCAACAACAAACAACACCGTAACCAAGCTGTCAAGACTGCAGCGACAGCGGAGGTTACGGCTGCAACTGCAAGTGAACCAACAAGCTGAACCACAGCAACCATCGAGTGGAACTTCTCGTTTGTTCTAGCTTGGCATTGGTAATATGTGCTGTAAAAACAATGTAAGTCTTTGGTCGGAGGCATCCGCTGAGCTGCTGGATTTCAATGACTTTCATCGCGATGCCATAGGACATCTTAGCAAAAACGAGGCTGGTGCTACGAAAACATCTCACGTTTTAGCAACAGAAACAGCCAATGTCAGGCCGGCAAAATACTACTTTGCGGTGCCGATAGCTGCGGATGTTCGGCGACAGATATTGCTACCATTCCTTGCGATGGCGACTTGCAGCCGACAGGAGCCCGTGGCATTGCCTGTACTTCCAGCTTCTCGACTTGTTGGTGTTGAACCTCCTTCTAAACCGTTTCCACACTGTCGGTTTGGTCCACAAGTAATGCCACAACCCTGTTCGCAGATTCTTTACTCTGGAGCCAACGCCGGAACTGCCTATTGCCGTCATGGCCCTGTACCGACAAACAACAGCAGGCACAAGAAGACCACCTTTCTCTGCCTCGTCTTCGACCAAGCACTTTTGGCCTGGCTCGCTGAGGAACCTGGCGGCAGAAAAGCTGTGGACATGCCTGTAACGGCCTCGTACCTTTTCATTTTCAATTCTGTGGCTCCAAAAAGAGACTTCCTGTAGGCTGTAGTTTTGACGAGGAGCGAAGCCATCTTGCTCGAGAAGAATGACTCGCATTTTTCCAACTGCTTCATGCCCTTAGACGTATCAAATCGGACGCAGAGCAGGTGACTCCGATTGCAACACCTTTTGTAGTCTCTGGGGTCCAAGCGTTGCCGCCTCCACTGGCAAAACGAGTGCTATCAGGCAGAATACTCTTCCACGTACTTCGGAGTCTATTCATTTAAGAGTCTTTTAGTCCATTACTTCAATGCCACTGTTCATTCTGCTCATTGATGCTCTTCTTGAGGGTCTGTCAACAAGCTGAACTTCGTGGTCTCTGCATGTGCAGTGCACGGAGCTATTATCTGAGAACCGAGACACAAACCTGCAACAATGTGAGCACTTGTGCAGCACTGAGCCCTGATGCGGTTTTCCCGTCTCCGGGCGATGGGTACACATCCACGGCTGCATTTTCACCAGCGATGTCATGAGGACTCACACCTTGAAGAGGCCGGTCAAGCGGTCAGCGTCCTTCCCATGGTCAAACCCATCGAGCGTTTGTTTATAGAGTCACACAAACAACTTCCAAGCCTTGCTTCAGTCTGGACCCCCGACAGAACCTACCCAGCCTGCGGTGGCAAGATGAGGCCAAAGTACTGCCCTGGCTTCCTGTTGCCTTCGTTGCTTTGCTGTTGGAGCGCGGTCTAAAACTCATGCTATCGCGAGTATGTATAGAACGACGGCAGCCAAGGAACGGAGAAGATGCAATGCTTGGAATGCAAGCTTGGGCATCCTGCTCAAGCTCACAACACCTGAACAAACAGGTTCAGTTGAACCATCGGAGATTGATCTTCTTAGCACATTGGTCGCAAGTCTTCTGTCTCGTTTGACCAACCCAGAGCTGCCCTGGCCTTTGTTGTTCAAGCCTCGCGGTCGCTGATCATCAGTCGACACCAGCCGGTCAATCGGAATGTCTGCGAACTGCCACAGAGCCAAGCCAGCTATCTTCGGGTTTGTGAACACGGAGAGATAGTGCATCTGCATCAGGAGACCTTTTGACCAGGTGTGCATTCAGAAAACACGCGTGGCATGTGCCGCCCTGGCCTATGGATAGCTCCCATCTTGCATTAGCAGTTAGATGATTTTGGGTCGATTTTGGTGCAGAGTGATTATACCATGGCAGCCCGCCGTCCATGCGTCTGCAAGTGCATGCGGTCGCGGGATGTCGAAGCTAGGAGGAATCACGACACGTGGCAACGGAAGTCTTAAAGAGAATGGCGCCTTTGCTCTTAGCGGCCAAAGCGCTCTGAAATTCCTCGGTCCACTTCTCCTCCGTAGGTCCATGATGCCCGAAAAGACCGCCAGCGCCAGCCTGTCTGAGCATACAGCACCTGGATGCCTCTTCTCTAGGGAAGCTTTGGAGCAGTCAACCGAATCAACCCCTCCAGCAACCACAAACAACATGCGACAGGAAGAAGGCCAGTGTTATCTCACCTCGGTGATGAGCAGGGGCTTGCTTGGGAAATTCTCCTCCACGAACCGGGCATAGGCCTCGGACCAGACATACCAGCAGCCGGCAATTTCGAAATATCACTCAGATCCGTCAGCCAGGTCGATCAAGCCTCCCATATCAGCGGTATCTCCTTCACCTCGTCCAGATCACCAGGTGCCGTTGTCGGATACCAGGCAGGGTAGTGGTGAAACGAGCATACATCAGCATATTGCAGGTACCTGCGACCACCAAGGGCATGGGTGGAGTCAGTATGCCAGTCACGATGTGCATTGTGCTGTGCCTTTCTAAGGACGACATCGGACAGGTTGAATCAGGTTTTCGGTGCCGTTTCAAATCTTCCGCTCAGGAGTTCAGCCCATTCCATGACACGCTAATGGAGCCCTTGGCCTGGGTTTGGGGTCTCAGCACCGTCAGGATTGTCGATTTTAGAAGCGGCAGACACTGCAAGGGAAAACGGACAGCTGAACGGAAGCGAAATCGACGCCCGAACGAAACCGAAAGAACACACGGGCAACGGACTGGGACGCGAGAAACGACAAGCCCCCTAGTTGCACCCAATTCCATCCAAGAACGAGGCCCCCCGTACTGATACTCTGCCCGCCCTTCCCCTCGCTGAAACTCTGCTCAAATCCGAGAGACAGAAACGTGTGCACCCGAGATGCACGGAACAGCTCTAAGATGCTCTAAGCGAAGAATCCCCGAATCGTCGTATATGTGTGCAACACGTGCGCAGGCCCAGGGCCAGGAGGGGCCTGTCGGCGATGGTCGTCGAGGAGCCCCAGCTGACAAGGCGGGTGCCACGTGACTTCTCGCGAAGGCGGTTTGCCATGCCTCAGTGACTAAGTAGCCAATGACCACAAATTGAACCCAACAAACTCCTGAGCGCGGAGCCGCGGTAAGCAGCCTCCGTCGCGGGACTCGGATCATCAGATTTTCCTTACAGAATCAGAAGCTGGTGCTTCCCAGGGGCAGCAGTACTCTTGCTCATCCAGCAGCGTGCCTTCGTTGAAGAAACCGAAGAAGATCACGGACCTGAATTCCGTACAGCCACTGACTCGTGCATTGCTGCGCAGCCTCATCATCAATCACAGCTTGCTTTCGAGCTGCGGGTGGTTCACAGATGCGGCTGCCATCTCATCCGCTAGCTTCAAGCTCTGCATCATGAAAATGCCATCAGCAAAGTCCTGCTGAGTGGACATTCGAAAATTCTAATTAGACTGGCTTTCAGGACTTGTGTCGGCCTGCTCTGGCACACATTTTCAGCACTTTAAGGTGTCCTTGGGAGTGTTCTGCCAACCCAGCACTTCTTCCCACACCTGCGGCCATCTGAAGCTTCCAGCCAAGTTACACCACCGTCTCCGGGAGCCAGGCCAGTAAGCCATTCTCGTCACAAAGGTCCAAGAATCTCTGGTCTTGTGCGTAGTGGGCCTTGTATGAGCTGGTAACGTTCTCACTGTCACGGCCTCCCGCCTTGCCCCGCTACACCATCACCACTGTGGTTGACGAGGTCATTGACTCGTTGTACTGGGGATACACACTATTTAAGTCGGATCATATTTCCATCGAATCCGGCTACAACGAACGGGGGGTTGGATTCGAGCCCAGTTTTCTGGCAACCAGTTGTTGCGATTCCTGCTAGTGTCTGGGAAGCAAAGCCCCTTGACCTCGACGCAGGCCCAACTTGACACACGACCGCATCAAACCCGTCATAATGCAGCCTGACATGCACTCCCTGTGCGCAATCAGCATGAGGACCGCGTTTCGTATCGGTATATAACTGCAATCGGGCTGTCATCACGCACGTGTCTCCGGATTTACGACTGGGCACTGGCATCTCTAAATAAAACGTAAATGAATGCTCTAAGATTACACTGGTGACATTTGATGACTTCATCTCCTCCTACTTGCACCAATGCTCTTTTGTGTCACATGTCACAAGATATGGACTATCGTCGGAAGCCGTTTGGTGGCGGTGGCGGTGCTGGTGTGACTACCTCATGCCAGGCTGCTCCTCTGACGAAGTTTGTGCCGACATCCCGTAATAATTGGATGTCACGGACCAGCTCCTCGTGCGAGAGGACCGGACTGGCAACCAAATCATGGCGATTGAAGCCGAACAACCTTAGCTAAAGCTCTGCAGGCAGCAATGCTGTCAGAGCCATTAGATGCAAGAGTGCGCTATTACTATGGTTGCACTACAAGCCAAAGCAGGCATTGCTGTCGAGAGTCTTCAGCGACTGTCCATTCAGCAGAATGTCTCTGCCGGATGTGCTGACGCGGCGCAAACCAAAACGCACTTCAACGCAGTCTAGCAGTTGACCGGAAGAGAGGAGGGCAACCTGCAAAGACACCAGCTTTTGACGCTGTGCAAAGCCATAGCCCGGAGATGAGGGACAACTTCACAGTGCAAGAATGAAGGCCTTCAACCGATGCAGCTTGGGATTCTCAGGTGACCAGCTGCGCGCATTGGGCACCGATACATTGCGTGAAGCAGTCCCCAAGATGACAGTCGACCAGCTTGCCCAATCGCAACCTGCCAAAGCTCGCGGCAAGCCCCACACTCTACACAGCAAGTTAAGCCACGTATTCAGCGTTGCATTCGTTTCGTTGAGCCTTGGTGAGGATCATCGAAACGCCACCGATACTGCAAGCCTCAAGCCCAGATGCTGACATGTCAGAACACAGATGCTGAATGATGCTGAAATGTCGAAGGTCGGGTAGTTCCTGAGAGTTTCTGAGCCCGCGAAACCTGGCCTTGGGCCGCCGGACTGCCGACAACTGCCCGCACATCCACATCCACATGCTCCAGCGTCCTCAGTTCCCACATTCAAGGTTCCACAAGGCTGAACTACATAGAGATTCACTCACCCTATACGGCAGCTCCGCTTAGCTCTCAAATCGTCGGAGCCAGAAGGCCTTGGAAAGACGTCGACGGCGGCCAAGTAGGTGGGTTCTGCACCCGGGCCCTGGAGGCTGTGAAACTGCACAGCCCGCAGCAGGCCGCCTCTCGAGTCCGTCCCAAGAGAAGGCGAAAGGCGAAAGAGACCTCTCTCTCTCTCTCTCTCTCTCTGCTCTCAGAGCGCGGCTCGCCTCCCTGGTACCAGTCATACTTGATCTGATGCACAGGGTGAGTGACAGGGTCGAAGCGGTTGTCCACCAAGACCGCGATAGAACGAAGCCTGGCAGCGACTCCGGAACCATGCATCCAAACGACAGTGACATGTTGCATTTCTGCTCTTGGCCCTGTGCTGTCGCTCGGCGCTGGTTACAGGAACGCTGAAGGGCGATAGCCCGCTGTGATCAGCCAGCACCACACCGTCCACGGCCACGAGACAGCGCAGCGCGCCTTGCGACAGCTGAAGGAGGCAGCACTCTTGCGTCAGTCAGTTGTGGATGAGATGAGCCACAAGCTCCGAAGAGGAGGACGGCCGACGTATTGAAGACGACCTGGGGGCTTTGAATTCTTCGACATCGTCTCCTTCCAATGTCTCACCGTATGTTGCACAAAACCGCTTGATGAACATGGTCGTTTGCGCTTCAACTTCGTGTATGCATCGGTATGGCTAAACGTGGCTAGAGGGCACACCATGCAGCAACGGTCAAAGGGACCTTTCTGCGACCATCTCCGAAGAGCGCCATCTCAAGCCCGAAACAACCCCAGGGCCATTGGGCCCTACCCAGTATATAACTTAACAGAGCTTTTGATGCAGTGTCCGGTGCCTCTACCTGCGTCTTATATAGCGCGACGCCCCGCCGATGTCGAAGCCAGTGCTGACTGCAGCAGCTCTCGAAGGCCACCTCCCGCTCTGCCTGCGGACAGCTTCGGACTGCCCCAATTCTCTAAACACGTCGTGTTCGTTCGAAGTGCCTCCGGCAAGGTTTGCCAACATTGCTGATTTCCCTGCCATCCGTAGGCACGGCTGCAACAAACTCTGCAGAGCTCCTCGTTGCTCTCTGTGACCTGCAGCTATGTTTAGTCAGCGCGCGCGACTCCCTACACTTCCGCGGGAGCCTTGTAACAGCAACACTCCGTCAAGACTCCGAGGGTGGTTTCACGGCTTTCTTTGGACCGTGCTCGTACTTACGGCTCATGGAGTACTGCAGGCAGCCATGGTTCAAGATGCCGCACCTTCTAGCTCTCATTGTCATTGGACCCCTCTTCTGCGCCGGCCCATGGCCCTTTGCACTGTTCCGAGGAATCTCTACTGGCCGGCCTCTTACCAGCACGTTTGTTGGGGTCTTAACTCTCCTCTTCTCTGCCGGTTCGCCTCTTTGGGCCAGCAGGTGCTGCAGCGCGGGGTCTCTGCGCGCATATCGAAGGCATCGGGGACGAGCACCGGCTCCATAGACACGTTTTCGACCTCGTGGTGCTCAACAAAGTGAGAGGGCGAAGTGCTCCTAGAGCGTCAGCCCGCTGCCAGCAGCTTAGCATTGAGGACCACGTCGCCGAGGAAGGCAAACTGCCAGGTGCCGTTCAGGACACTGACCTTTCGTTTCCGCTGAGACAATGCCCGAACAAAATCGGGGGGCCCCCGCCAGCAGCACAGCTACTTGTATCAGCTCAGCACACCCGGGCCTGGCGGCCCGGGTACTTTGGCCAAGAAGGTGGCTCCCTCGGCCAGTCTACGGCTCCGCATGCCTTCAGTGGCAAGGAAAGGGACCCCTCCCGCTCCAGAGACGCTTCAGCTCCTGAGGTCCCCAGCCTGAATGAGCACCAGCCATCCCAAAGCCCACCAAGGGCGCGTCCTTAGACCTTCTCCTTTCCGAGCCTGCGCTGCACCCCTTCCCAGGAGAGTCCAGGCTGCCTGTGCCATGGCCCGAATTTTCAAGCATCGCCATGGGATGTAGGACCCGCCACGAGGAAGGGTGGAAAAGCCTGCTCCGATAAAGCAATGGTAAACGGTCCAAGGGTACAATTGCTCTTTCATATCTGAGGCGTTGGGTGGTCAGCGTATCTTACTCTGCACCTCCTGCTCTTTCGACATCTGGTTGCAGGATCGGCTTCCCCGTGGAGAGCAATGATTGATGCATGCAGTGTATGCACTCGAATGGCGAACCGCAATGCCGCACTGACACACTCGCGCATGACCAGGTGCTCGTCCTTTTGACTGCAGCGCATTTGGCTCGTCCATTTCGCACGGTCCGCTCGCATATGAATATTGTAAAGATGAGCGATGCGGCTGAACTGCACTCGAAGCACAGTGGCCGCCCGGGCCACGTTTGAGCAACCTATGCCGAGCCCATCTCTCTCAGCGCTTGCAGTCTCCTTTCAGCATCAGCCTGCCCGGAGTCTCCCAGTGCGCAGGGAAACGAAACATCAAGAAACTGTGCAATGGCTGGGTGCTGTGGGGTTCCAGCCTGCTCATTCAGCAGCTGCTGATGGAGCTGCTCTTTTTCCGCAAGCATAGCCTGGCCGGTCAATCCCGCAACACGTACCTTAAGTGATGCCCTATGTGAAGTAGTCTTGCCAGTACAATCAAGGAGAAATGACCCATTTGATGCCGTTACATTTCTTACTCTCGTCTTAGGGGGGAGTTCCTTCAAATCACAGAAAGCCACGCATCTTCGGACCTGCAGCGCCGCCAGCACTTGCTCTGCTTGTTGAGTATCCATCTGAGGGCGTAAGTAGCATTCGTGTTCTCTGAAAAGCTGCAAGCCGGGACTCTCCAGTTGTGCCAGGGATTCGACACCCAGGAACTCATTGTCTTCTTCTGGAGACTGTGGACTTGGACTTTCCTTCTGAGGAAAGGTCGCAGGCGTTCACTCGACTCTGTGCTCACATTGCATATTCCGATGCGATTCGTGCAATTCAAGCACACTCAATCGGGACTTGCTCAAATCGGTCCTGTTTTTGCGCTGACGGACGCATCACCTGTGCCTTGGCCTGTGTTCGGAAAGGTTATATTGAGAATCTTTAGCTTTTGCTTGAACGTGGGCTGCGCCATGACTTGTCAAGCCGCCTCTGCCCGAGCTCGCGCCTGGCACCGAGGCAGAAAGCCTAGAGTCCTAGAGGCCAAGATGATCTTCACGTTGAATGTCTGGCCTCATCCCTGCCACTCTTGGCTGGCACGGCCTGTGGATGAAGCCCCACAAAGCATCCCTGTCACGCTCGCTCCAATCCTCCTACCTCTGGGGCTGGCTTTTCCAGTCCATTCGGCTTGCTACGACCTGAACTTGCAAGCTGACTTCGGAAGATTCGCAGCGAAGAGCTCAGCTCCAAGCAGAGTCGCTCGATTGTTTCTTGCTGCGAGTCCATGACTTTCCTGGCGTTTGGGGGACCCTTGGGAGCTTACCTAGTCATGGCTTGCCAAGTAATTACACCACAATGCCCGAGTCCGAGGGGCTGTTGCGTGGCATACATTTTCTGACCTTCCTGGCTTCAGAGGACCCATGTGTTTTCACGTGAGCAGCTCACCGCAAGCCAAGATGCCTGTAGTACGGCCAAGGCCTCCTCCAGCCGATTGTGCCTGTGCGCAAAGCTGTTCTCCATGCCAGTCTGTTTGAGATCCGTCCCATCAAGCTCCCGGCAATTTCACTAGCTGCTCCTGCGCTACAACCACAGAACCAGAATAGTGTTGCACTGGCGTCGTTGAGCAAGGCTTTTTATGCTTCCAAACCATCACTGGGCGAAGAAGCAGCGGCAGTTGCATCGCCGCTTGAAGAATAACTGACAAAAGCCGCTCGCCAACCAACCACAATGCTGCGAACACCGGTTTTCGCAGCATGCGGTCAAATTGTCCGAGAAGTCTGGCTTTGCCTCGCGTCCTCCATGTACCGGCGCAAGATCCTGCGGACACTAAAATTTCATCGTGATTTATGTCTCTGTCCGTCTAGCTCACGCTTTCGTAGTCAACGGAACAACTAGGAGACTAAGAAACACGCAGGTGAACAATTGCCCCTGAGACTAGCTCTCACGGGTGTCGAGGGTGGGGGAATCGAAACTGTGAGGATACCAATCTGATGTCGTGCTGCCTGCAGAGAAAGCAGACGCCGTGCTGGATGCTTCATCTTTGCTGCGCACGCACTCCCTCACCCCTCTGGCATTTCCTGGCTAGGAGAGTTGTTGATTTGAGCACTTGCGCGCGAATGGAAAACGGTCCATCCTTGCCCAAGCCGGATCAGGAGCTGTTTGCATTCATGTTCATTTCGCAGGCCATGAAGCTACGAGCATGCGCTGCGTGTTCAACCTGCTCCAGCCTACAAGCACGGCATGCTCATTCATGTGTTCGGCTTTGGTTTGAAACGCTTCGGAAAAAGAAGCAGGGTTGAGGGCAGGGTGAGAACAAGATTAATTACACCCTGCCTGGTCTCAGTATGTCCCTGCCTCTAACCTTTGGCCCTCGTGAGACAAACACAAAACTGGTCAGCTTCTCAGAAGCATAAACTGCTTTCTGGCGATGCAGTCCTCACGCAGATCGCAAACATCTGGCAGGCAGATTCATCATCTTCCTCAGATTTCTGCACGGCCCCTCATCCATGCGGCAGGTGCTCATGACTTCAACCAAGATTCCAAGAAACACACCTTTCGGCAATCCACGGGTGGCAAGCTCCCATGCGGCTGGGTGTGGTAAACCTCAATTCAGACGTGTCTCGACCCGGCCCGTAAGAGTCGCGGAAGCATCTCAGGCCAGGTACCAATACCAGCAAGCGAGCGTGCTCGTCACTCGTGAGCTGCTGCCAGGCACCTCACTTGAAAGCCCGGACCGTTCTATGCTGCTGCATCACGAATCCCAACACTTGTCTTCTTGACCCTCCCACCTGGCTCCACATGAGCAGCGCACTCAGCACCGGAAGACACTGACACAACCTTCCACAGTGTTCGGAACACTTCGCTAGACTCCATCATGTTCCACGGCTGCCTGCAGCAATATACAAAGTATCAGCATACAGCATACTAAGGCAAGGTCTGTATGCCTCACAGCTACCCGTGCAATTGCACAAGACGGTTCTCCAGTGAGGGTTTCTTGAACTAGGTCTAAGGGTCCTCATACGTTTGTAAAGGAAGGTTTTCATTTTTTCCTGTATCTATTTTGGGTTCCCCCCATAGTTTCAGAAACTGCCAGGTGTCTAGGGATCTTGAACACTCGGTCACTGGCACTGTGTTGCTGCGCCTCTCGGATATAGGCAATGTGCTCAGGCCCGGCATATGGTGCACTGTCAGCCGTGTCCTTTAGCAGAGTAGCCGTGCTTCGAGCTGCTATGGCATGCAAACTGCACGAGGAGCCGATGAGGCCGGGATTTGGCTGCATCTGCATCTAGTTTTCGCACATTGCGATAGAACTGGATCCTCTGGCGTGAGGCGGATGTATTCCAACAAGTCGTCGATCTGATAAACACCAGGGCAGGTCGAGCCAGACAACCTTACAAGAGGTGCAGGATCAAACTGACAAACTTCGCAAGCCTTCATGAAATCTTTGCAAAGGAGTTGCTCGTCGAAGAGTTGTATCGACACACCGTCCATTCCACGAGTTGCAAACCTCCTCATGAGCCTTGGTGGGCATTGAATATCATTGACTTCTCTGGCCCTCCTGATGATCCGGATCTGCGCGTCAAGAGCCAGTTTTTTGACCAAGCTTCTGTTTCAGCTCATGTCGCTGTTTTTCTCGTGGGCTTTGCTGTGGGTTCTGGATTTCCGATGCAGGCTCGCTTGCCAGGCCCTGCGAGCTCTCGCTGGCTCCTGAGCGTGGCAACATCTTCTCACAAAGCTTTGGAGGGCAGCTCCCACAAGAAATTGGCGCCAGGTTGCTGCGTTCTCTGTCGCCGGGAAAGCGCTGGAATCGGAAGTCCAGAGGGGCGACCGAGACCGGCGCCTCCGAAAATCGCAAATCGAATGACTGCCTTGTCCGCCAAAACAGCCACAGCTCAGCTTGCCGGCTTAGTGCAGAAGCAAACGGGAAGACCGTGCGAGGTACAGCACGGCTTAGCAGGAAGACTCCTGCGCATGAAGCTCTCCACAACTGCCTTTTGTTCGGCGAGTTCCCCCAAGTCTCCACATTCGCATGACCAGCACCTGAGGCGCGGCAGCAGTGAGCAGGTTGCAAGAGAGTGAAGCAGCAGCAAGTGCTTCAAAATTTCTTGTGGCACAGGAAGACATGCATCCCTTTCATGCAAGAATCTGGAACTTGGTGAAGAATCGCACCAAATCCATGCCAGGCGAGGACAGACTTGTGCATTGTCACTCAAACGAATCCAAGATGGGGAATGGCGGGTCAAAAGTCCGTCTTCGCACGCACAAACGACCAGGTGTCTGCTTGACCGGATGATAAACACCTGTTTAACACTTCAATTTGCCACCTGTATGCTTGCGCCATGGGTTGCATCTTGCGGAACCTGCGCCCTCGACCCGTAGCGGCTGGTGAAATGCAGTAGTGATGCACACTCTCCGACTCTCTCAGACTCTGGGCGTTTTCAGGTCCTCCTTGCGACTGTTCAAAGTCTCCAAGGCCTGAGCCCGGAGATGCCCGGACGCCACAGAAATCCCTTTTGGATTCCTTTTTTTTCCGCCGGCCTTGGCTCGCTCCTCCTGCCGCAAAGAGACATAGATTGCTCCGGCTTCATCACTTTGCTCAGGCCCAAGTCCTGCTGTTTGCAAAGGATCTGGAGCTTTTCCTGCAAGATCCAAGAAGAGAGCACGCGTGAACTAGGTTGGTGCAGAGCTTCTCCACCTTTTTGTCCATCTCGGCTCTGGCCAGCTGCTCCCGCAATTCAGACGCACCTCAAGGACCACATCGGCAGTGCTCTTATGACGTGTGCATGCTGCATGAGGCTGCATGGCTCATGCCTGGAGCCATCCTACTCTGGCTCGGGGGAGGAGGCTCGGAGGGCAGCTCTGTAGAGCCAGAGCTGCCAAGCAAGCCGAGTGCATGCATCACTCACCCAGAGTGAGACCAAGAGCCGCAAACGATGCCCCTTTTTCCTCGGCGATGGCACTCAGCCCGGGTGGACTGTCCGCAGACAGACCTGAGTGTCGCAGCACCGTAGTTGCTGTGAATCGCTGGCCAGGCTCAGAAGGCTCCGACCTTCGTTCCTAGGCCGAGAGAGGAGCCAACCCCTGTACACGTGATGGCATTGGCAACCTCAGCTTCGTGTTGGTCACGCGACACAGGAGCGGTGACGCCGCAAGGCTCGCTGCGCATGACTTTTTTTGCAGGGATTGAGCCCAAAGCTCCTTCAGCTACCAAGGCCCGTCGAACAACTGCTGCTCGGTCCTTGCAGGCTTCTCAGGAAGCGGGTCTCGCAGGCTGCATGTTCCGAGCCTCCGAAAGCCGAACTCTGGCATCGTTGTTGTCCTCTGGACGGCCTTTGGCATGTCCCACGCTTTCTACCTGCAGCAGTGCTGTTTTGCCGACCGTGCTACATGGAGATCTTGCTTTGCAGGCCAGGTTAATGCTTTGCAATCGAGCCGCTGTGACATCCGGGAAAGCCTGACAACCGACAGCCACAGCGGCATTTCTCTTTCAGCGTGTCTCCCGACATGCAGGTAAGAACTGTCTTGCCATTTCCCGTCTATCTGCTCAACTGCTTGGTCTCTTTCCTCGACTGACCAGGATATTTGCTATTGCCATGCAACTGGCGCCCAATTTGCATGTTGCCGTGACCCCCATATCCTGGAACGACATGTGCAAGACTGCAAGTCTCATGTCACGCCTTGAGCAGTTGTGCCACTTTGGACAGCGCAATGGCTGATCCCAGCTGAAGCTCCATCGTGTTTGGCCTCGCCGCAAAACCCTTGGAGCAACTTACAAATGTTGATTCTTGAAAGCTGGGCACCCCTCTGGAATTTAAAGCCCCCATCAAGAATCGCATCCAAGCGTTCTTCCAGCAGCCTCGCAGCTTCGGACCCACGCTTCAAAACATACAGAGCTAATTCGATAGCCAACATCTCACCGCCTGCGACGCTCTTCCACACTGAGCTGTGTGTCCTGGAGAGCCACCTGCAAAATTTTGGGAACTGCCAGCCATCACTCACTATCGACTCTGCTTTTCTGAAGGGGAAAAGGCCTCTGTCTCCTCGAGGCTTGTCTGGCCTTCGTCCACAACCTGACTCCGAAACCCCACGAAGATCTCACATTCCCCAGGAAGGCCGATCGCTTCTTGGCATCCGGCAACCTGAAAGCAAGTGCCCAGTCCGCCATCACTTCCTGTCCAGGAGCAGGGCAGCTTGGATCGAGATGGACCGAGTGTCTGACAACACGGCCTCGGCCAATGCAGCGGATGGGGTTCGAAACTCCAGCCTGAGCGCAGCATCGCTCCACATGCAAGGTTTCGAAGGCTCACATGCAGAAGACGTTGTGGAGCCTTTCTCAGTTCCACTTTCAGAGCCTCTGCACGCATTCGTGACCTGGAGCGTCGATTTAAAGAGGATTAGTCATTAGACAAGCTGAGTAAGTTGAGCCAGTTGCAGTCGCTGCTTCGCTTCGCTATTCTCTCCTGGCTGGCCTCTGCTCCAGAAAGCATGGACTGCACATCCGAAGTGTGCAATCCGAATCAGGCGGGGGTTGCCCTTGGCGTGGCCCTCCACACAGATGGGACACTGCGGGCAGGTCGCAAGGACAGTTGCCTTACACTGCGGTAGCTTACGATGACTCGGTCTATGACGCAACCGCTCACAGAAAGCTGTAGCTGCAGCAGCTGGGATTGCTGCTAGTGCTTTGATCACCCCTGCCTTAGCCAAGCTGTGATGCATGTCCACCACGATGCAAGCATCGCGCTCTCCACATCAATTGGATGTCTGGGTGACCTGCTGCCGCAGCTGGAACCTGGGACAAAGCGCAACGACTGCGTAGGCTTTGTCAAGACAGAGAGCGGGAGTGGCCTGATACGAGTTCGTTGCGAACTTGACGGCCCCATCCTGTCACTGAAGCTACAACTCGGGCCTCTGGACCCAGAGTTTCGCATGTGCCTTCTCGAGAGCGGCAGCCAACAGCACATTGACCCTCGTCCGAGGATCTTCCTGCCGAGCCGCTACATGAAGTCTGACACGTGAATCAACCCTTTGACAGACAATTCACCTCGGAATCTGCAAAACAAAAACACGTGACAATGGAGCGGAAGCCATGAGCCTGATCGCTCACCGCTGGAGACTCGACCGGAGCCTTCACGGAAGCGCAGATCACTGCGGATTTTTGTCGCCATGCCCTGAGCCTGTGAGGTCACCCACATGCGAACGCATGGCCCCAGCCCTTCTGCACATCCAGCTCCACGGCATTGCAAATCTTGAAGGACGCCGCGAGATCGAAGTTCTTGGCACCAAAGCTCCTTGGATCTGCAACTAGTAGCCATAAATGCCAGCCGTATGCACTCAAGTGCATATTGGCTATGCCGTTTGTAGTCGTACATCCAGCCCAAGCATCTGCTCGGCGCCTCGTCAACTTCTCCTTGCTCTCCTTGCAACGACGGCATCAGATAAGGGCCACTGTGGTGCCCCTACTTATGCTGCAAAGCCTCGCCCCCCAGTCCCCTTGGTTGCGGCACAAGCGGCCGAGTGTTCCTCTGGCAAGCCCCGTGCATGTGCCTCACATACAAGCACCATCTCATCCGGGAAAGCCCGCAGCAAGTCGGCGATGCTGGATAACACACCTTGCCAGCATAGACTTGTACTTACAGGCAATTTACAGGGGGTCGGAGGGCCCCTGTAGTGCCGGACCTGTCCTGCCTCCAGCAGACTTCGGGATGGCTGTCTGGTTCGGGACGAAATCGATGTTGCTGCTCAGCATTTGCTCCAACAAGCGATTCAGCTCCTTCTCCCTGGCGCAGTGGTACTTCTAGCACTCTAGCTGCGCTGAGGACAGCCTGCAGCTTGAATCAGTGCGTGCAAAACTGGATAAACTTCTGGCCAGGTGCCAGGAGCACTGGCATCGGGATGTTTGCACTCACTGCTTCTTGCATGCCGATATCTTTGCATGTTGTCCGAAACGTTTATGCTTCCGGGCAGATGCCTCTCATTCAAGATAGGATTGGGATTCTGACAGATTCTGACATACGGCTCAGGAGATTGGGGCCAAACGCGTCTGATTTACGATTGAACTTCGACTTTTTTTCGACTTAGCAACGTACTTACTGCAAAGTCGGTCGCCCAGCCTGTCGTCTGCAGTCATGTCTGTGAGCTCCGGAATACGCAGTGCACCTGAAGACTCGGCACAGCGAAGATGGCAAAGAAACAAAGCCATCGACGGAACTGTTGTTGTGCAAGCCTTGTCGCTCCAGAGCATACATTCGGACGGCTTTCCCTATGCCCATCTCAGAGCCATAGCCGAAGCAGTGAATCGGGTTGCCTACTCCAAGTTCCTGGGAAAAGCTTGTCATGCCCACGACAGGACAACGCTGCATGAATCTGCAGGTCCTGCAAAGCTTTCCGAACATTTTCCGATCGAGCCAAGGACCTCAGTCAAGACCCATCCCGAGCAGCCCTGCCAGGCAGCATGCAATGCTTGGCTAGTGGCAGCTGCTTCTTCTCCAAGTTGTTCTCCTTCGGCAAGCCCTTCGCATGACCTTCGCACCTGTCACGGTCTCTGAGAGGTCCCGCATGCATTATCTTCGCCTCGGGCCTGATAATCCAGGAAGGGAAAGACTTCAGGACCAGTGCTACCATGCGCAGCAAAGGGGAAGCCGAGATCCTCAGACATCGTGGCACTCAGCCAGCTATCCTCTCCCTCTACGTCTCTTTTGGTAAACACTCCATTTCAGTGCTTGCAGTGGGGTGGACGGCTTTGGGGTAAACTCGAAAGCAAGAGAAACGGCCTCTCTCTCTCTCTCAAGTCTTTGTCGTCCGGCACTGCCCTGACCATGCATGCAAAAGCACCTTACACCGTTCGGCTCGAAGGAGAATTGCAGCAGAAGCTCCTGGCAGCCGCCGGTCACAGCTTCCTCTTGTTTGGATCACAAACCGCAGCTGTCCATGCAATGGGCAGCTCATGCTTCCTGCTATGAGCCTGAGGCTTGGTGGCTCCTTCAGCAGCGCGTCCACCACCGAACCTTCCTGATCTTCGGTGACGAGCTCGACGTTTGGGATAGACCCTTAGCTCACTCAGATCGCTCAGAAAGAAGCTGCCAAGCTGCCGATGGGTGCCGCAAAGACTCGAAACTCGTTTCCTTCTGCATCTTCGTCGGGTGCAAGGAAGTCCACACTGGCACAAAGCCCGGAGCCCAGCGCCGAACCGAAACCGTAGCTGAGAATCTTGTTGCGGACCTTGTCAGGATCCACCGAGTGGTCGTGCAACATGCCACTGCCATGGAGGGGGGAATCTGCGCTAGGAGCTTCTAGCCTCGGTTCTAGTCGATAATGATCAAAATCCTCAGGACCCTTCTGCAATGCCGAATTTGGCAGCATCCGGACACCGTGATCCCGCCCGGAATCTTGAGGACCCAGCACCATGCTTCTGCAGCGTCTTCGCTACGGCATCCGCTCGGAGCTTTGAAAGCTCGCGCTTTGCTTGGTTGTCTTCCTCCGGAAGTCCCTTGGCAAAGCCTGCGCGACCAGGCATTCACATCCAGCCGAATCTGTTTAGGTCCCCATGCTTTCTTCTGGCCTGAGCACTGGATGGTCAGCTCGGGATGTGAGCGAGCGAGCTTGGCCTTGCGGTTGAATCCACTGCGCTTCCGAATGCGCAAAGTGGTAGAATACGGGCATTCAGCGGTCTCGAACCGGCCAAGGAGCGGTCTTGAGCACAAAGCACGTCCCTTCTTGTGACAGATCCGACGAATTCGACTTGAAAGTCAATGGCATGGCACCTGCATGGGCTGCAGTGCGGACACTTCCCCGACATGGACGGAGGCTGAGTATCGTGCAGGACAGTTGGTGGATTTGATGGCGTATCTGCCGGAGAGTGTCCTGTCTAGTTCATGATGCATGGGTTCAGAGTCACCATCACGCAGGGTCATGGTCCAAACGTTGACAGAGAGGCTGCAGGTGCATCCTGAATTGAACTCGTCGGATTTGCCGGCGTTGGAGGAGCTTGTGTGTCGGGGGTTTCCGTTCCCTCGAGCAGGCGAAGCTCAAAGCAGTTGTGATTGCAAAGACTTCAAATTCCATGTCTCGTCCATGCACCTCCAGGCGCACACGCACACGGAGCCCAAGGCCCTCTGCACTTCCATAGCCAATGCAGCGAATGGGACGGCACACGCCCTCCCGTTCCAGGTGATCGCGCAACCTCGATTGATGATTGATGCATCATGTGCTGTTGAGGCCCTGGTTTGAGTATGTGTGCCAAGGGTCAGAGCCGCAGCCTCCTCACGCATGCAAATACTGCGCGACTGACTGGCTATGGCTATCTCATCTCCCTCCAAGCTTCCTGTGAGATCTAGTGGATCTAGTGATCATGAGAACGAGCCCGCGTCCCAGATTTTCTCGAAATCGGTCGCTACCACACATTCTTGATCTAGCCGGTCGTTTGCCGCGTGTTGCATAAGGGGCGCTACGACAGAAAGAGGGACAGGGAGAGAGAGAGAGAGAGAGAGAAACAGGTTGACACGATGATTGTGCATGCGCCGGTACTTATCCGGTGATCCTTCTCTGCAACGCGATTCTTCGCACACCCAGCTCCTCACCAATGCTGCAGCGCATTGGGTTGTTTTCTGCCGGGAGGCCTGGTGTGTGACCTGAGCCCCGCGCAGAACAGTCCTGGAGAAGCGAATCCGATGCCTTGCCTTCCAAAAGGAGGGCACCGCCAGGCTGACAATTCTGAAGCTTCTCCACCGTCTCTCGCAGCAAAGCTGCAAAGGACGGCGTGAACCTAGCCCCAGAAGCGCAGTCGGTCCACAGGCCAGCGAGTTCCGCTCGCGAATGAACAAGCATTGGCAGCATTTAGTCAAGCACAGCCTTATGCCCACGTCATTGTCCTGCAGATGCTGGACTAGAGGATGCTAGAGGTTGGATGAAGCCCAAATGCGCAGTGGCTCTCCTCGAATGCATCTTGTCCAAACTCGAGGGCTATATCACTGACGAGCAATCCGGAGCCATGGCAAACATCTGCCATGCATCTGCCGGTCTTTGCCCGGCAACCAAAGCAAGTGAAACGCTACCGGAACATCAAGGCAAGCGGTATATGACTCTGAGCGCTGGCTGTGGAATGTTATACAGTGTCTCGAAGTTATGATGAACGGAGCTTCAAAAACCTCTTGTCAGCACTGCGTACAACCGGCGCGTTCTTCGCAGGCCGGCCGACTACAACCTGGTAACCTGGTACTGTAGCCAAGCACGTATGCAAACCTGTGAGATGCATTGAGAATCCAAAAATCCAAAGGCAGGCAACAACATGGCAGAGCTGAAGCTTGAAAACCCTGCCAGACAGACCTCATCGGATCCGGTTTTTGCAGCACACTGCCATTTTGGCAGGCGGTCCTGTGTTGGGTGAGACGGTGCTGACAGAGTAATCTGACTTTACTCGCCTTGCCAGTTCTGGTAGTGCTGCTTGGCAGCCCCCCTCTAGGTGCAATCACGACATCGGAACAGCCCGATCCATCTGACTAGTGTTTAACGGTCGTGCAAAAAGTTTAAAGTCCTTGTCGTCGGAGAAGCGCATCTGACCATATCCTAATTTACTCGTTTTCAAGCCACCGTCGATGCAGGTGTTCACCCTTTGTCGGGAGCTCATGTCCTCGAACTTCTGAGGTGCCTCAGCCCTAGGCATGTATTGAATGAAGTGCTGAGTCTGGCGTGGAGGTAAAGATCGATTGAGAAACTCCTCAACTCGGTCCTGCTCCCGCAGGAAGTCTTCCATTGGCTTGTTGTCAATTTCACTGATACCATATGGATTCTCATAATGGCGGAATCCCACTTGCGTGTTGAAGGCTCGGCGGCCGAACTTGCCGTGACGCTGCGGAATGTCTTCCCGGAATTCAGGATTGCCGGGATCCTTGTAGGGGCTCGCATCCTTGTTCTGCGCTACAGCGGCACGTTTGGCGTCAAAGCCGTCGTAAGAACCGAAATGGCAGCTAAACTGATGCGCACGTGTCGCAGCATTCATCTTCGACATCTTCGGGTTTGGCTTCAGCTCTTCGGCCCTAGTGTGGTCGATGTGTGAGCCATCCCACTTGACGTCCAAAGACTGTGGCCAGCGGTGGCTGCCGTAGGCCGACTTCACACCAACACTGTTGTGAAAATGGCCCCGGAGCCCACTCGGCGCGCTCAAAGAAGTTGGGCCGACGCGACAACTCGGCACGCCCGAACCCCTCTTTGCAAAGAACTTCCGTTCGTCTGAAGCTCTCTGTTGCTTGGCCATGACCTGCAAGAACTGCCTCCGAGCTTCGAAGGTGTAAGCCATTTCAGCCTTGGTAGGCTGGGTCTGGTCGAGCGCCTCTGCCTCCGCTTCGGCTGCTGCCTCCGCCAACTCCGGTGTGGCGTTGGCGGTGCCCTCCCGTGCCTCAATGCATCGGTTCACGAGCCTCTCTGTCTGCTGGCGCTTCTCCTCCCATGGCTGATGCGTCCGTTTCGACGACATGGCTGCGGCGTCTCTTCCGCGAATCCTCCGCCTCAGCTTGCCCCAGCCATCACTGGCATGGCGGATTGAGCATGACTGCAGCAGCCACATACAGATCGCGATGTCAGTGCGTTGGCCTTCCACACGCTGTGCAGCAAATTCAAGCGCAAGACTGCACAAGTTTTGTTTTGACTTTTTCTCGGACACGTGGATCGAGCCCTTTCGTGAAACAGAGGGGCTTCTGGCACGACGACATGCCAGGTAGCGGTGCGAACGTCTGCTTTTTCTCGACTTACAAAGCCTGGTTGAGGCCCTGTAGGTTCTATGCGGGAAGATTAATCGGTATATGCTGGCATCGTTAAAATATTTAAATACCCTCAGAATCCGATGGATGATTCAACTCATGAAACTAGAGTAACTAGAGACATGTCGAGCGACTTCCGTTGAGCTCTCAGCCACCCTGGCCGCATGTCCAGAGCCAGCTGGGGCCTGCAGGGTCTGCTCTCGTGCCGCTGACAGGAAGAGTGAGCGCACCCAAAAGCCAGAAGCCGATTAAGGCCACGGCCGCCATCTGACTCGCCATGCTTGGGTTCTAGCTTGAGGGCAACGGTGTCGTGACCTGCTGAGGTGCACCCTTTCCGAGTCTTTAGTCGGACCAGGTCGATGACAGCCTGCCTAGAGTGCACGTGAAATCCGCAACTTGCCTGCACCTCGGTGCCAGATCAACAGCCGGACGCAGCTAAAGGGCATGAGCTGGCTGACAGTGCGTGTGCGTGCATAAACTCCGATAACTGTTTCTGGCAGACCACCATCGTGAAAGGGTGTGTTCTGGTCCTGCACGATGGAATTCCTTCTATGTCGATTCGACGTGCAATGCGGGCAGATTTCCTGACCTGACCTGGGTGTGTCGGCACAGCCATGACTGTAAAACCCGTTTGATATTCTGCCATGAGTTGGTCGTGCTTTGGGTTCTCTGTGCCCCAGCCTTCCGCATTGCAAAGTCTGCTCTGCATGGATTCAAACACTGAAGATTTTTTTGGAACAGAACTCGGTCCAGAGGAGCGGCTGATTCTGCACTTCCTGGCTGTTGACATGTTTGCTTGCTGGCTGTGTTCGGTCTGGGCATGCTTGAAGGGTGCTTGTTCTCAAACCTATACAGTACTATACAGGCTCTCCACGATGCACGATGCGAATGATGCCTTTCTTCACGACACGACACAGGGGAGTGTTTGCAACCACGTCACATGGCTGTATCCTTCGCAGAGAAGAACCTGAGAATGACAAACTGCGGCCTCTAACATCTTCTGCAGAAGGACGATCGCCGCTGGAAGTTCTGGGACACTTCAATTTATGTAGCCCCCTCTACTTCCAGGAATACATGCGTGCATCCAAAAAACACGCTCCGTTTCCGGCGGCAGTGCTTGGTGGCAGGGTCCAGGGCCACCCCTGTCCGCAACACAAGTGAGCGAGACGCCAAGACCCCAAGAGAGACTCTGTCCTTGAACAGTACACCCTAAACCCTCAACTTATGGTCAGGCAGCCACGAAGGCTGGACAAAGCTATGCCTCGCTCATCCACGAAGTCCCTCATCAGCTTTAGCACGTCCTCCAGGTATGTAGCTTGGAACTTGCGATTCCGATGTCCGAGTTCCGAATGACCAAAGGAAAGATGTTGCAAAAGCTATGAAGACAGTGACATTGTATACAAAGTCACCCATCATCCTGCGCCAGTCCCTCATCCAGATCGTCGAACGGCGCGTGCATGATTAGCACCTGCAAACAATGCATTCAGGGCTCGCCACCATCGGGGGTTATCACGTGTTTCAAGTTCAATTGCGCTTAAACTGCACAGCCACCTCTGGGCTGGCAATAAATGCCCTCGCCAAGTGTAGGCGCTTGGCTTCGCTCCGGCTCATGCAATCGTACCAGTACCGAAGGTGGTCCTCAAACAGGGGGCACTGGTGAACGGCGGAATCCAGGAGGGACCATCTCTCGAGCCTGCTCCGATTCGACCTCCGACAGCTCGAGAGTTGAAGCCTGAGCCTTGAAGGTGCACGTCGTGCACGTACCCCGAGACTGCATTCACAACGTTGAGAGCGGTGCCGTGACTTGCTCCTCGTGCTCCCTCATGCATCTTTCCATCTCCTGCAAATGGGCTCGGCCGAAGGCCGGCTGGCGCTGGCGCGAGAAAACCCTCTCAAGACATGCGGCAAGAGGGCCTGGAAGATGTCCTCCTCGTCCGCGTGCTCGTGGTACTCCGGACCTGGGCACGGGCGAAAAAGAACCGTGGCTCGGAGCCCCACACCGCGGTGCGGAAACCCGAGAGGACTGGCTCAGCTCCTCCTCTTCTCGGAGACAGTCCTGCCATCCGTGCAGCTTCGAAGCAGCCGTGATCAGTCAAGTGCATGTTCATGTGAAGGTGTTGTCAAGTAGCGGTACTTCGACAAGTCTCGATTTTGCCTGCATCACTGCATGGAAGATCCAGGAATGATGCAAGGAGAGGCGCCGCAGAATGTTGCCGACCTCGTCTCTCAACACGATTGCTTTCAATCGTCAAAAACTTGGTTCCGAACCTCAGAATAAGCAACTTAGCCAAGCACCCTCTCATGGTTTGTATAGGTGTGACCGCCCTCCGAAGACAGGACGCCGAACCTCGGCCAGAGATTGACACGCTTAGGGGTCTGTTCGCGATCGCTGACAAGCACCTGCACTGCAGACCCCATGAGGCTGTGGCACCAAGTTGGCATACCTGGGCAAAGAGCCGCGGTGCTCAGATGCCCCTCTGGCTCCAAGGCAGCGTGCGCGGCCGCTATCAATCTCTCGCAGGTTGTACAGACGACTGAGAATAGCTTGGGTTCAGATTCATGCGAGGAACGAAAGCGACGGTATTTCACCCAAGAAGCCCACTCGGATTTGGCATCTGGGGCTCGAGCAGGCCCATGGACTTCACGAAGGAAGGCTCCCGAGAAACCCGGACAAGTCGTAAATGAGGAGGTATTCCGATCTCGCCCGATGCAGGAAGACCTGAAGCTCAAACACAGTGCAAAAGAAGAGCTCCAAAATGTCGTGCAGTTCCCTTCGTTCCCTCGGCCGAGGGGCAATCCTTTGTGATCAGGGAGAGGAGGCTGGCCTTTCCACAGGACGCCGGCCCCGTCAAGCAGATCAAGCCTCAGTGCTTCGACTTCGACTCCGATTCCTTTTGGTTTCGTCTGAGCCACCGGCTGCCTTGCTCCACACAGGCTGACAAAGGCTCGCTGACTCCTTAGCTCAGCCTGCCTTGGCTGAAAGAAGCGGTGCTGCTGCAGCCATGGCACTTGGAGCAGTGGGGTATTCCGCAAGGTCAACGTCTCGCCTCTGCAGACATGCATGCGGGCGGTGGCTTACTTCTCCCTCGATCTTCGACGGATTCTGCTCGATCAGATTCTGTCCCGCAAGTGCGTACCCCTCGTTTGTCATTTTGGTCACCGCAGCCTGTGCGGATCCAGGACTCCGGGTGTTGGCGGCTCTGTTTTGCGGATCACCACCTTAAATCTCACGCCAAGGAGAGGGCAGCTAGTTATCCAGACTTCAATCCTCGTCACATCCGTCGCTGAGCTGGAAGCATCTGTGAGGAAGATGGGCACTGTGTCCTCACAAGGTCACAAGGCATTGCTACATGCACGAGCATGCACAGCAAAGTTAACAAGCAGGTACGCGATGCTGTCGATTACTGCAGAAAAGTCTCGTAAGCACTTTCCGACAGAGAAGCAGAAGTAGGTGGAAGTTCGGACAGGCGTCGCGCAAGGTACCTCGGGCCATACTCTTGGAGTACACCATTGAGGACTGCAACTTGAATTTCAGGTCCAAACTGGCGGAAAGCAGCAAAGCATGCCCCGCCCTGCTGAGTGCTATGGAGTCTCTGCTCGTGTGCTTCGTGTGCTTCCATTCGCTGTGGCAAATCTGTTTCCAGGTTGAACTGCACAGTAAGGACCTCAGCTTGAGGCAGTGTTCTGTGCTACAATACCGACGTGTGGCAAACAAAACTCAATGTGCAGCACAAGATGCCGACAATGGATCTATGACTTCAGACAAGGCCTCAAAGTCGGCATAGATCCTCGTGCAAACAATCAGATCAACAAGGCCTCGTCTCTGGGTCAACGATCTCAGGCACTGCGGCTCTGAAGAGGAGGCTTGCTTTCCAGCGTTCAAAATGGTGCCACAAATTCTGCAAATCATGTGACCCCGTACTTGGTTCTAGGCCGGCGCAAGCCAGTTTGGTTTGTGAGGAAGACTGACTCTAATTCCAATGTCTGAGTGCTGGGTCCGCGAAGAGAGGCGTCCAGATTTGCGCGCAAGCTCTGCGAGCGGTAGGGCTCAGTCCCATCAGGTTTAGTCTCACAGCATCCCCACCTTCAACGAACCCTATCCGCGTTTAGTCACATCACCCGCATTTAGACAAAACACCGTGCACTTCAACACGCATCGGAATGCAGAATATGTCTGCGCACCGCAGGTATTCGGGCAGCTTGCGCACATAAATGAGCATAAATGCGGGGCTAAACCCCGTGCGCAGCAAACCGTGCCAAAGCGTAGGGGTAAGAGGGAGAATGGCAGTCCAGACAGGTAAGTTCTAGCACAACTTGGAACCATGACCCCATGCAACGACGGAGTCACAAACCGCAACTGCACATGGCTGCAACATCAAACATAGACACAAGGACTCAGGCATCTGAAAGAATGGTTTTCGAGTAACACCCAAGGGCACACTGGATCGACACAACCTGACACAACTCGATGCAACTTTCCCATTGGACCCAGTAGCCGGCAATAGCCGGCCAATAGATTTGTGTGCAGATTCATTCGTAGTTGAAGGGTTCGATACTGTAGATGCGCAGGACACGCAGCCGTCAAAAGGATTCTCAAGGAAGCCACGGACAACGGGCGTAAGAAAGCCTGGAATGGTAGACCCAAGGTCATTGAACAATCTGGCACGGCCCATGCTGTCAGGTCTCCCATCGAATCGGTCACCCAGATCCTCAGCAGAAGGATGCGCTCGATGCACGGCAAGCAAGGACCAGAAGCAACAAAACTGGCAGAATGATCCGTGACATGCATCTTTGTACAAGGTGATCGTTGCCAAGAAAGATCCCATGGACAGTTCACCTCGGAAAATCTGGCAAGCGCATACTATGCCTATGAACCGGGCTACTGATACCGGGTCTTTGACACAAAAGCTTGCATCAAGAACCTACTATGTCACAGGCAGCTCAATCGTCAGAAAGGCCTTCAGTCACGAGCTTTCCTGCCGCAGCGATGTAGAAGCCGGTTGCGATGATGGTGATCCATGGAATTACTATGCCGCTCCTGGAACTGTCCACGCTGCGGGACATTGGCTTACCAGCGCGGCTGCAGAAAGGAATGGTTTTCGATCACGGGTATAGTGGTACCGAGACATTACTTCCCTCTTGTGCACACTCTGCAATGCAACGCTGCAGCTCAAGGGTCCAGAAGGAAAAAGACTTCAACGCCATCACCAATTTGCGCTGATCTTGCAAGACCTTCTGGAATTTCCCCACAATCGCATTTCCTGGGTCACTGTCAACGGAGGAATAGGCAAGCTCAGGTCCACGATGACATTGCTTGCAGCAAGAATCGATTTCCATAGTCATTCACCAGATCCTGAGATTCGACCCCTAGCCCTAGATCTGACGTGTTGCAGAGACTTTCTGTTTCGGTGATGTCGTCTTGCTCTGCACAAAGCTGGCGGCCACGGCTCATATGACGCATCTGCATGCAGCAGCCAACCTCGATCCACCAGAATCGTGAAAGTGAGATAAGGAGAAGATCACACTCCGAACAATGCCACTTATCCCAAACACCATGCTTGGTGCCTTGTGTATCACTGCCTCCGTCTCCGGTCTTCTTTAGAAGCCACAGCCTTCACTCAGCTGCAAGATCTACTCTGCACCTTTCTTGAAGTCCACATGAAGCAACGGCCACGGAGGGACGAGCACGCGCCACGACAGGCATCTCGCAGTGAGGGAAGCCATCTCTCTGGCCTTCGCTTGTAGCGTGAGCCGAGCCAGAGCAGCCTCAAAGTCCGGGAAGCTCGGCTAATATAATATAAGTAACATGATTTAACACAATATAATGTACTATAATAACATATAATGTAATATGATAATTTTTGGCTCCCACTTGGCAACGTCCGCAGACACTGCATGGCAGGTGTCAAGAGTATCGGAGAACCGAAGCAACGGCTTCAAGGAACTGAAGCAAGCCGCAATCGATGTGAGACTCAGTCCCCAATGCAAGGAGCTTCACAATGGCTCGCTCACACTGCACAAAGGAGCCTAATCATGAAGCCAGACAAGCCACCTCCTGGCAACTCTCACTCAGTCAGTGCAGGAACACTCTCCTTTACACTCTAGAAACTGCCCATTTCAACACAGAATGCAACGTAGCTTCCAGAAATGCAGCTGTACCGAGCTCCCACGATAGGCAGCTGCCACGAACACGACCGACGGGGCAGACCAGCAGCTGTCTCTGAAACCAGAATAGACATCAACGTTGGAGCCCATGCCAAGACTCAGGCACCATGGCTGTCGCAGGGCAGACAAGCAAAGTCTCTGAACTCATCCAGGTTTGGATCCATGCAGAGATCCATGCATCAACAGACTGCCATTTCGACAAGTAGTGTAATGCAGCTTCAAGAAACGACGCGGAGCCACCAGCAGTTGTCTGTGAAACCACGATAGACATCAATATTGGAGCCCATGCCAAGACTCAGGCACCATGGGTGTCGCTGGGCAAACAAGCAGAGTCACTGAACTCATCCAGGTTTGGATCCATGCAGAGATCCATGCTTCAACAGACTGCCCTTTCGGCAAGTAGTGTAATGCAGCTTCCAGAAACGTAGATGCACCAAGCCCACGCTAGCCGCTAGCTAGCTGCCACGAACATGACTTGGCAGTGAGCTCACATGGAGTACCCTGCAGCCGTCTGCGAAAGGCCAACCAGGAAAGACATCCATGTTGGAATCGCTGCAAAGACTCAGGTACAAAGGTATCGCAGTTGGGCCCATTGTCCTGCCATGCTTCGCGCGGAATCCCTGTGCAAATTCCAGGCTTCGTCACGATCCCATTTAGGAAATCTCGTCACGCTCCCAGGGCATCTTTCAGGAACCAGCAAAAATGAACATTGTTGCAGATCGGAGTCTATGCAGAAACTCATCCGTGCCAAAACCCAAAGTGTATCGTCAAAGAGGCCCCATCCTCCAGCTTCGGCTGAGGGGCAGTCCAGGCCGGCACTGGTATCAGGGCCATGGCTGTCGGCGCTGGCAAAGGGTTCATGGTTCTTAGGGGGGGAAACAAATATGATAACATATAATATAATATAATATAATATAATATAATATAATATAATATAATATAATATATACATACATTATATCTCATACACGGAGCAAGAGCGCAGACAAACAACAACCGGGCTGAACATTATG